CCCATCTCCAATGCTCGAAACCCCATTGATTACCCCTTCATGCAAGTCATGATTAAGCAAGGAAGCTTCTAATTGACCATAGTTTCCTGTGGTTTTTTTTTCTGAGTTGGGAAACTACAGCTACCAGCTTCACAACAAGCCAGGGTATTAAATCAACTTCAATAATATTCTGGATTGTTGTGATACTGGCAATAATAGTTTGGTGGTTCAGACAAAACAGGAGGCTCCGGTTTGTCGAAGCCCTCCTGGTTTGTTCTCTTACGTCACAAGAAGGAGGTACAAAGGGATTGTATGTAGTGGAAAAAGCCTTGCTTATCTCTCAGTTTATTAAGTGTAGACATAATTGAGCATCATCAGACTTCCAAAGGTTCCCTGAATCCCTAGAATAATGTTCAAAACAGCATCACTTCTGTATCCCAAGAGTATTCTTGGGGAGCCGTGTGATAGTGCTAAGTAAAGGTGCAGATTATCTAATGGAATGCTTATATTTTTGTGTGGCATGATGTTTGTAGATAATAATCAGCTGGGCCAAAGACCCAACCCAGCCCCTAGAAAAAAATTATCTGATCCCTGCTGTCCCCTTCAAATTTGAATAAATATGACACGGTAATTTAAATTTTTACTACCTTATCTTTATTCAAATTTTAGCAGGGACCCTTATAAGATTGTGGGAGGTTATAATTTAAACACTTCTAAATTATGGTGATAGATGAAGCTGCAGATTTCTACATGTTGGATGAAAATGTACGGCTGTTAAAGGTTGTTGGCTGAAATAGATTTATGAAAATGCTGTGTTTACTTTTGGTTAGTAATTTTCATGGGAATTTGAGTGGCTATTTTAAATGGGCTTAGTCTGATATTACAGAGTGATCCAAACCTACTGAGTGACAGAGATACCATTGTATCTAGCAACTCATGGAGTCTAGCAACTCATGATGATGAAAGGTGGGAGTTGGGCAGATCAGGCCTGATCCCTGCGTCGCGCACCAATTGGGCCTAGATCAGGTCCTCTACTCATTCTATCAGTGCAAGAGTTTCCGCTTGCCAGACAAAACAGTTGACCTCCTCACACATGATGTTCTGGGGTTCTGCTGACCCCCAGAGCCAATTTGGGGGCATGAGCAGAGGAGAGAGGGGAAAGCCCCATGGTGCTTCAAGACTCATTGCAGTAGCTCCCACAAGCATAACTCTTTTGTCAAATCCAGCCCTATGGGAAGGAAGGTGCACATGACAAAAGAATTCACTTAACATTAATTTGACTTTGACCTCTCCAATTATTTCTAAGGAACGTAATCTATCCCCTCCTCTCCCAGCCACTGCACGTCCCGAAACACCCTCTAGGAAGGATCAGTAGAACCCTCCTGAGCAATGTGGGGTTGGGCATGGGAGTGGGAAGTTGTGGGGAGGGGAGAATAATGAAAATCAGTCTTGGAGCCATATTATTATTATTATTATTATTATATTTTGTACCCTGCCCATCTGACTGGGTTGCCCTAGCCACTCTGGGCCACTTCCAACTGATATAAAAACATAATAAAATATGAAACATTAAAAGCTTCCCTATACAAGGAAGATTAGTTTAGTAAAGGAAGTTCATGGAAGGAAAGCTTCCTGTCCCTTCCTTACCCCACGCACAGCTATCCCCAGCCCACACTGTCAGGGAAGACCCTGAGAGGTGTTTTTTTTAGATGGAGCAGGGGGCAGATTGGATGGAAAACTTACATACTGTAAACTTTGTTAATCTGTTTAGAATCCAAGCCCATGTCTGTAAAATAAAATTTAAAAAATCTGGTGACTTCAGTTTATGGGCTAAAGCTTTCCCTCTAAGAGTGGGAATTCTTTCCAGGATGATGATAGTTTCCAACGTCCATAAATAATTGTATGAATTTACAGAGCCCTGAAAAACGTAGGTCCTGGGTATCTTAGAGACTGCCTAAACCCTTCTATTCCAGCTCAGTCACTGAGATCGTTTGCAGGCGCATGGTTAGTCATCCTCCGAGTTGGCAAGGCTCATCTGACAGCAACAAGAAACAGAGTGCTTAGGGTCATCAACCCATGTCTATGGGATGCTCTGCCAGTAGCGATTCAGTGGCCACCTTCTGTTTCAATCCTTAAACATCTGCTGAAAACCTCTGTGCTGCCAAGCTTATGGAGCCATTTAAGAAAAATCTATCTGCCATAGTTTGTTGATCTCTGATTAAAAATTTTACATGGTTTTTACTGTAGATATGTATGTTTGTTATAAATGGCTTTACAGAGATATGAACACATTTTTATAGATAAATAAATTGGATTTTCCCAGCCAATTCTGTTCTATAAACGCACAGCATGTAGTGCAAAGCATGGGGCTTTGCGGTGGGCAATTAGTGTGTAGTCTACAAAGTCCATATACAGATGTACCTTGGAAGTCGAATGGAATCTGTTCCGGAAGTCTGTTTGACTTCTGAAAGGTTCAGGAACCAAGGCACGGCTTCTGATTGGTTCCTGATTGCGCAGGCACGCCGGAAAAAAATAGCAGAAGCTGCACCAGACGTTCGGCTTCCAAAAGAATGTTCAAAAACCGGAACACTCACTTCCAGTTTTCGATCGTTTGGGAGCCGGAATGTTAAACTCCCAAGGCGTTCAGGAGCTAAGGTACGATTGTACTGTGCTTGGAAGAGTTGATTCCAAGCACAATTTTGCAGAAGCGGCAGCTGCTTCCTTGTATGTTAATGGGACACAGCTATCTCTGGATATAAGAATGATGGGAAGGACAAGGGAAGGCTATGTACTGTGTGGAGGACATAGTTAAACTACAGGGTTGGCTCCTGCAAGATGTAAGGATGGCCACTAGCTTCAGTGGCTGAGACGAATGGATGGCAAGGCCATCAGTTGCTACTCGCCACAATGACTTTGCTGTGGTTTCACAGCTGGGGACAGTATGCCTCTGAATACCAGTTGCTGGAAACCACAGGAGCGGAAGTGCACGGTCCCGGTAGCAGACTTTCCACAGGTCAGTGAGAACTGGCCTGATCCAGCAGAGGGTTTATTTCTTATGTTCTTACGTTAATGTGCAAATCGTATTAATTGTTTGGTTTTTAATTTTTTGCCTTATTTATAGGCTGTTGTGGTTTTGCTATGATTATAGTGATAGTAATATTTGCTCTTTTTAAAATTTTATTATTATTGTGAGCCGCCTTGCACTCAACATTGCTGTTGGAAAAGCAGGAATCAAATATCGAAGTGCAAACTCACAATTTAGATCCATGGTTCCCAGTTCTAGATGTTAGGCATACAGGAATAGCATTCATCTATAATGGATAGTGTGCCGTACCCGGAGGTGCCTGGTTTACTAAAGCTTTGCTTATAGCTCTCTTGAGTTTAAAGCCAATGTGTTTTTGTTCAACAAACAATCCCACATAGTTTCTGGTGGAATGTGGAACTCATTTCCCACCCACTCTAGTTGCTGCTAAACAGTATCATAAGTTTTCCCTTTCCAAAACATGTTTTCTGTACGTTTGGTGTATAGATATTATATTACCACCACCACTGTCCATATTCTCTGTGAACTGTTTCTCATCTTCCATTGTTCGTTTGACATTGTGCAGCACAATCTTAAACATGTTTACATGAAATTAAGTCGCACTGTTTAGGATTGCAGCCTAAGAGGGGTATTTATATTTGTTTATATGTTTTGGTGCTGGTTGGTAGAGGGATTCTGGATTTATACCAAACTATGTATCGTTATTTCCCAATATGAGATTTAATTATATATAAATGGCTTCAGGATTACACAACCAGGTGTAACTAGCCTTCCGCGACTGTTGCAAGTGTGAATCAGGATGCACACCTGTATTTACACTGAACTGGTTTGCACGTAACGCTAAACTGTGGTTTGGTGCTGTGAGCATGTGCTAGAATGAATTCAAGTGAAGCTTTGGGTTTACACCCTCTGCTCCCCCTTCTTCTTTCATGCAGCCAGGAGCAGGACTTTGCTAGCATTTCATTTTTCATTTTTCATTCAAACACTCCTAGTTTAGCATTATGTAGAAATTAACTTTCTGACTGTAGGAAATAAGTTTCTGACAAGCCAACTTCAAAGCGCAGCTGCTGCTGCTGCTTCTGCTGCTTCACTCCACCTTTTTCCGCTGACGGAACTCAGACTTTGTTTGTTTTAAAGCACAGTCTCTGGTTCATACATAATATAAGACAGGATTCATGAGAAGTGAAACTAAACAATAGTGGAGTCCTTCTCTTGGCTGCATAGGAGGAGAGAGGCATGCACAGGCTTGTTTACTCAGGCTCATTCATCCTTGTGCACTTAGCACTAAACCATGGTTTGATATGGTATGCAAACCAATCCATTGTGGAGCTCATATAAAGTTTATTGAACTAAACAGGGATGTGCATCTGGGTCCACCAGTTGCACTTGATGAGGTGTCCACAGTTACATCCCCGAGTGTCAAGATAGGCCGCCTTTATGCTTTGACTTTGGGACTATTGTGGGACTACAATGATGTTTTCAGTTCTCAAATAACATTTGCGTTTTCTAATTATTAGTTAATATTACCATTAGAGTAAGAACAGAAACGTCATGTCACTTGGCCACATGGGATGGGGTCATCCAATTAGAATTCGTATGGCAATGCATTATACGTAATTTATTGTTCCAGCTGTTTCATTTTATTCCCCCAGTGATTTTATTTGGTAAATGTCCATGAGATTTTTGCTTGTGAAGCTCTCAGGCAAGAGGGAGGGAGGGAGATAGTGCATTCCAAATGGATCTATTGAATGAGCTAATGTTGAAGGATATTGACTTCACAGTGAAACAGCTCTATTTGTGCATTTCAGAGCCTGTATTGGAATTTTAGAAAGTGAAGAAAGGAGGGCTGTAATCCATTATCTTTGAAAAAAGAACAGTATCATCCAGCCTGCTTAACTTTAACTGCATCACAATTTTTTTTAGGTGTATAACGCTAAGAGGGGAAAGACATTCTATTTATCTATGTGCTGTTTTTCAGAGTGAAGACTCTGATGAAGAAGACCTTTGTGCCATCAGTAACAAATGGACTTTCCAAAGGACGAGCCGCAGATGGTCTCGGGTGGACGACATTGACACCTTACTTCATCAGTCAGACAAGCATGGGTCCTTGGGGGACATTAAAATGAAAATCACCACCAGCAGTGAAAGTGTGCTTACTGACCTGAGCGAGCCTGACGTCTCATCTATTCACAGCGAGAGTAGTGGGGGAAGCGACCATCGGAGTCATTCTGGAGCCAGCAACCTTCTCAGGGAGACATTTGACTGTTCAGGACAATATTGTGTAGAAAACGCTCTTTTGCATGACTCCACCTCAGTTGGCACCAGCCCTTACCGTCCTCCAGAAGACTCTCATCACCTCAGCAATGAGAAGCCAACACGGACCAGAGCTAAAACCTTTCTGAAGCGTATGGAGACACTCAAAGCCAAAGGGGCACATGGAAAATTGAAAGGCTCCACAAGGACTAGTAACTTAGTGATAGGCAGACCTGTTCTTCAGCATGAGCCAAAAGCCCTAAAGGATATGCAATGCGTCCAAATTGGGAATGGAAACCTCCAGAACGTAACATCTCAAAACGCAGCCAAGCAAGCGTTTCCCTTCTCTGCTAAATCCAGCAGTGAGAGTAGCCAGTCAGAGATTAGCAGTAGTGGCATAAGCACTCCCTCCTTAAAGGAACGGAAATACCATGAATCAAATAAACGAGGCGGCATGTACCTGGAGGACCTGGATGTTCTTGCAGGAGCAGCACTGAGGCAAGTGATAGATCAGAATCGTAGAAATGAATTTCATTCCCAGGAGAACCTAGTTGTCCATATTCCGAAGGACCACAAACCTGGAACGTTTCCCAAGGCACTTTCCATAGAAAGCCTCTCCCCTACAGATAGCAGCAACCGTGTGAACTGGAGGACAGGCAGCATTTCTCTAAGCAATCAGAAGTGCTCGACACCCAAAGAGTCCAATCCCCTTGCTATCTGTCCAAAGGAGAGCCGAGTTAGCATTTATGACAACGTTCCAGGTTCTCACTTATATGCCAGTACTGGAGACCTTCTAGATTTGGAAAGGGAAAACCTCTTTCCTCATCTGGATGACATTTTGCAGCAGGTCAATGGGCTTCAAGAATCCGTAGACGACTGGTCCAAAAACATATTGCCAGAGCTGAAGAACAACGATCTATCCATTGGTGAATGTGGATCTTTATCATTCCGGTCACCAGTCAAGATTGCATTAGACTTTGAACAGAACTCTGTATCGGATGGCCGGACGACCCCTAGTGATATGGACAGAGATGGGACATCTCTCAATGAATCAGAAGCTACTGGTGTTAGGGACAGAAGAGATTCTGGTGTTGGAGCATCTCTTACAAGGCCAAACAGGTTTGTACCCTTCAAAATAATTGGATGTAGATTTGAAAATCCTGCTTCATGGAGTTCCAAAGATGATAGAGATAGATAGATAGATGATAGATAGATAGATAGATAGATAGATAGATAGATAGATAGATAGAGTTTTTGGATAATACCGTGTGGTCATGATGATGCACCACCTTCTTTGTGAATGGGATGTACTGGAGCAAAAGTAAATTGCAATTTTGTACTTTATGAATGTTAATCATACCTGTAATGTTTCTCAGACATACAGACTTTTTCAAATGGGTTGTTTTTATGTTAGTTAAATGTGGAGACTAGTCTCTAGAAACAACCAGTATGGATGGACAGCGGAAGGAAATCTTGTATACTTGCAAGTGCAAATCTCTCAGAGGCCTCAAACATAGCACCATAATCAAACATCTTATTCTGTTGTTTTTTACTTTGTTTGTCTAAAGGCGATTACGTTGGCACAGTTTTCAGATCTCTCACCAACTGTGCCATGCTATAGGATCACTGCAGATCAGCAGTCAGTCAGCTGCTCAGTTAAATCTGCTGCAAAAATTTTCCCTGCTTCGTCTTACTGCCATCATGGAAAAATACTCCATGTCAAACAAGCATGGCTGGACTTGGTGAGTACTAACATAGTTTAAGGCATTTGCACTTTTTTCAGCAGACTGTCGTGATGAAGCCTAAAAATTATGTTCATTGTAAAATCAAGACAACTTGTTCCATCAATGTGCACTTTGACATGGGGGAATCTTTTTGGTGAAGAGTTTAATATAGCCAAGGAATGGCTGTTGCAGCAGTTTTTTCCTCTTTATTTATTTCATTTAGTCTAAAGGTCATCCTTGCAACCATGTTTTTTCTTTACTTGAAACGTACAGTACATTGGGTAGTTTAGATTACACAGAGAGGGCTGATCAGAGGGAGGTCTGGAAGGCTCATTTCGCCTGGACCTCAGACTGAAAGGGAAACTCAAATTTTAGCTTTTGATCAGTTTTGCAACTTGTTTTAATTCACAACAGACCCAAATGTGGCGAGCAAATACTTTTAACTTTGGGTTGCAACTTTAAGCAAATAAGAGATGTGATTTGGTACAAAGACTTTCTTTTGTTGTTGTTGTTGTCGTCGTCAACTGATGCAGAATTTGCCAAATTAAAGTGTTAAAAATGTTCCTAAATAGTAATAAAAATGCATAGGACATGATGACACAAGGTTACACAGTGGTGAACATGTCTTCTCAGTTTAGCTGATCGTATAAACAAACTACTCATAAGAAACATAAAAAGTTGCTTTCTGCTGAGTCAGATCATTGGTCCATCTAGCTCAGCATTCTTGCACTGACTTGGAGCAGCTGTTCCGGGTTTCAGGCAGGTGACACTCCTAGCCCTGCATGGATTGAATCTGGAACCTTTTGCATGTAAAACAGGTGCTCTACCTCTGAGCTATGACCCTTCCCCAAAGGCACCCTTTTTGGGGTGACTTTTTGGTATGCTGTCAATTATTATTGTTACTGTTATTATGGCTGTTGTTGTTGTTGTTTAGTCGTTTAGTCGTGTCCGACTCTTCGTGACCCCATGGACCAGAGCACGCCAGGCACTCCTGTCTTCCACTGCCTCCCGCAGTTTGGTCAGACTCATGTTTGTGGCTTCGAGAACACTGTCCAACCATCTCGTCCTCTGTCGTCCCCTTCTCCTTGTGCCCTCCATCTTTCCCAACATCAGGGTCTTTTCCAGGGTGTCTTCTCTTCTCATGAGGTGGCCAAAGTATTGGAGTCTCAGCTTCATGATCTGTCCTTCCAGTGAGCACTGAGGGCTGATTTCCTTAAGAATGGAGAGGTTTGATCTTCTTGCAGTCCATGGGACTCTCAAGAGTCTCCTCCAGCACTCTCCTCCTCCTCCAATGGCTAGGGGGGTCTCAAAAGCTGGAAGTAGCCCCAGTCTCTCCGGACCTCTGAAAGGGCCCAATGATAGAAACTTCATTTTGCTTTTATGGTGAAAACCCATTTTGTATTTCTAAAATTACAAAATTTCCTATTTCCATCTGTGGGAAGTGAACTAATTGTCCAAGACTCCATGCCAACATTGTTACCTCATCAGGAAGAGAAGTTTTGGCTATTTAAACATTATACACATGTTGTGGTGCTGCAGAGATGTTTAGAGCAGCGGTTCTCAACCTGTGGGTCCCCAGATGTTGTTGGACTACAACTCCCATCATCCTTGAGTGCTTGTCTTGCTAGGAGGGGTGATGGGAGTTGTAGTTCAACAACATCTGGGGACCCACAGGTTGAGAAAGGCTGGTTTAGAGGGTGGCAAAACCTCTATGCACTCCATTCAGGACCAAGGGCAGCACCCAACTACTACATTCCATTAGTGCAATGATTCCCACTTGTGCAACAGAGCTTTCCCCTCCTCTTCTCTCCCCACGTGCACCCTGCTTCTTCCCCAAACTTTCAGAGGTTTGAAGGAAACCCAAGAACAGTTTTAGGAGGCGCACAGGGGAAGAAGAGAGAGAGTTCCATTGCACAAGCGGAAATCCTTCTGTTGACAGAATGCATTAGCACTACAATGCCAAATACTTGCTTCATTAGAAATATTGATAGAACTGGTGCGAGTTTTCAGAGATCGTCTTACTGTGTTACATGGGTCTAAACCCAAATCTGACTGTTTAACAGGGGCATTGCCAGAGCAATTACAGTGCCAGTTTACAGCCATTTCTGTTCGTTGTGCAAAATTAGCTGGCATTCTCATTACAGAAGTTTCAGGGTTTTTGTTCTTTTGCTACCTAAAGGGTAAAAGGTCAATTGATTCTGCAACTAATTTAGAATTAGGCAGTGAATGTTTACTCCCATCCTACTACAAGGTCCTAAAATGTGTGGCAAGTAAATGGAAGGCCATGGAACATTGGGAAGAAAAAACATTGAGGGTAAATTCCTTTTTAAAAAAATAAATAAGATAATAATAATAGTAAAATACAAATATAATATATAAATAATCCTACCTTTAATTTAAAAAAACCAGCAACAATATTGGTTAGGCATTATATCAATGAAAATAATACATAGAGTTACATATTATCTTGACATTTCATAGTCTACAAATTTATAAACAAACTCCACATTTCAATAAACTTAACTTATTATGTGCAAGTTTTGTTAGACATACTAAAACTCCTACACATTCATACCAGGGTGATATTAAAATGGTTCTCAGCGATCTCCAGGATGCTGCTATCGCTGCCTTGCTACTATGAGTAAACTGTTGATGCAGGGTGAATTATGAACCAAAAGTTGGATCTCCCTAGAACAAGATCAGAGAATCAGTTGGGTGTACTATGCAGCCATCTAAGTATGTCATGCAGCATAAAATACTGGGGACAAATTTAGTTTGGAATCTGGAACTGACACAGACTGCAGCACAGATTATTAATATTCTTTCTTGCTGTAGTCTGTATCACTTCTGTCATCTACACTGAGGTTTTCTGCCACAATATCATCTTCATGAAATGGCATTCAGGTCTCTTCCTCTGCATTTATTAAAGATTTCAGAGATGAGGGCGCTTGGACACACACTTGTGAGTTTCAGTTTTCTAGCCATGGTCTTGTAGAGAGAGGCTTACTTAAAGTAGCTCAGTTCCAGAGTCTAAAAATAAAATTTGTCCACAGTAATTGTTCTAACATAACATATTCTGGCTGAGTACTTTATAGCATTAGCTGGCATCTTAGTGGCCTCTGTGAGAGTGCTAAGGATTATTGCTCTGATTTTACAGCCAAAGGCAAGGAGAGCAAAGTTGTTACTGTTGGTTCTAGTCACCCAAGAAGCATAATTCAGAAAGGCTGCCTCAGAGCACTCCCAGTAGATTCCATGTCTGCAGTAGTAGTAAAACTATAATAAAAAATAATCAAGAGAAATAAATACAGGCACCACGTTTGTAACCAAACTTCCCTTAAATTAATGGAATGGCTTTGCAGTTTATATGTTGTACCATGTACTTGTTCAACTGCAAAGTAATATTTAGAGATTTGTGCTAGGTATCAGCCATTCAGAAAATATACAGTGCAGAGAGAATTATCCGTCAAGTTAAATAAAGAGGAAAGAGAAGAGGCTGAAAGATAATAATAATAATAGCAATGGGGGCAATGAATCACAGGATGTGAGTGTCCAGATCTTCTGATTTGCTACACTCTTCCCTCTTCACATGTTAACCTCTCAGGACATCCTGATGGATGAGTAGCTAACCCAGTCACTGTTTGCCATGAGAGAGCAATGTATGTGTGATGCCTGCTCCAGTGAGTGGCCTGGAATGTCTGCCTGATCTCTTGGTCCAGTGGCAGTAGCTGTGAAGCGTTTGGAGATAGCATCTAGGCCAGCAACAAGCAGGTAGAACAAGAAAGGATCTCATTCCCTGTCACTGTCTTCCTGCTTCCACCACCTGAGGCAGATGCTTTGTTTAAGTCAGACTACTTGTCCATCTAGCCCATAATCATTTGCTACGCAAATTAGTCTCAGACAGAGTTCTTTCCCATCATCGGCTATGTGTGCTCCTTTTACAACTGAAGATTCAGGGAACAGGATCTAGGATCTTCCAACACTCAGCGCATGTGCTCTCCTACAGAACTGCAGAGTCTCCCCCAAAGCAGGAGCTCCCCATTGAGGAATTGGACCCAGTTCTCCTGCATGACAGGAGAAGATAACTGGCAACTAGCAGAGCAATCCAAACTTCAGGCAGGCAGTACTTCCATTGGGAGGATGAGTTAACTGCAGAGGTCAGTAGAGCTATTCTGAGTTGGGTGGAGAGAGGCCTTTGCCCCATCCAGCCCACCCCCTCACAGCAATTGAGGGCATTGGTTGAAATCCTAACTTTCTACTTGAGCAGTCCCCTGCCACTGCCTCTGGTTGCCCTAGGCCCGTTAGGTATCTCCACCTCTCTTGTACTCCTCACATGGCTTCTTTGGACCATATCTGCCTTCCCACCTCACACAGCTGAAACTTGCTTCACTTCCACTTAAAATGATGTTTCTCACAAAGGTACATCTGTGGCGTTTCTATTGCCTGCATTTGTTTGCTTCAGAAATAAAAACTCACTGAACTGAAGCAGAACCCTGAGAGTTTCCCCATAATCCATTATTTGAGCTTCGAATTTGGCATGTAATGTTCCCTCACTGTAATTCTAAAATTGAATGGTAATGATAAATCATGCAATTTGAGATTACAGACATAATGAGCCACACTGAGGAAATTAACTCTACATGCTTTCAAGTTTAATCTTCTGCCATTATTTATTGCACTTCAAGTTGTCAAGCATTTTCTAAGGAAGTGTGTCGGGCTCAGCTAGTTGAAAGCTGTGTTGCCGAGGATGCTCTCTTGTAGAACAAATATGTTTGATTGCCAATGGCAATTCCACTACCGAGAGCATAAAATGTGCAAAAACGTAAAGCCTCCATAAATTCTGCTGTAGGAACGAAACCTATTTGCTCCCAGTTAACTCTTTCCTTTTTCCATCTGTGCTGCTCCTTTTATCAAACCCTTCTATGCTGCTCCTGGAAAACTAGAGAAATGTGGTGACTAAGTTCATCTTCCATACAGAGCACATGTCATCGAAAGAGAAGCAAATGCCCAAACCAAAACACTTACGGGAAAGAAGCAGGTCATTAAATGTGGTGTGCATCTTTGGGGGTTAGATGTTTTAGCTGGAATTATATGTAATGTAAACCAGCCAAGGTAAAGAAAAGGTTGTTTGCTTCCTCTACTATAACCTATGCTAGCTATGCACTACCTCCAGTGTTGGAAACATCAGGCCTTTGAGGAGCAGCTACTGGGAACCACAAGCGAGCAGAGTGCTTTTGCATGCAAGTCCTGTATGCAGGCATCTGGTTGGCAACTGTGACAACTGGATACTGGACTACGTAGACCTGTGATTTGATCCAGCCAGACTTTTCTTATGCTCTTATGTTTTTCTTTTGGTTCCTGTTCAATCCTCATTCTGTAGCAACCCAGTGGCTTACATGGGGAATGTTGGTGTGGGTTATTGATTGATTGTGGGTATGAGAATTGACTAGGCTGTTATTTTTCTGCAAATGTGTGACTTCTGAACTTTCAAACAACTCAGGGGCTGCATGGCTAGAAACCTGTTTCATGCCTCGGGACAGCACCCACACACTGCGTGGTCAGGGAGGAATGATGTATGTCCACCATAGAGATAGGCAGTTTTTATAGGATACACCGTTGTGTTGTTTTTTATTTGTACTGTTATTATCATCATTAGGTCTGTACCAAAGTTCATGAAGAGGATGAAAGTTCCAGACTACAAGGATAAAAACATATTTGGTGTGCCTTTAATAGTTCATGTGCAAAGAACAGGGCAGCCCCTTCCACAGAGCATACAACAAGCGCTGCGCTATTTACGCAACAATTGCCTGGATCAGGTAAGTTCTTCATTTGTGTAGGTTTATGGGCATACAAACTCCTATAGCAGCTTTTCCCCAGCTAAAATTATACGAGGTGGGTTTTTATGCCTTTGGTTTTGTTGTTTGGACTAGCATAATGTCCCTTCAAGGATGACTAGACAGTTTTAAGGATTTAGTAGTGTGTGCTAGCCCTATTGCTGCCATTAAAAATTATTATTTACGTAGCACACTTTAATTTGAGAATGCTTTACTGTCTTTATTGTGCTTGCCCTTACTGCAACCCTAGAAAGTATGGAACTGTTAGTCCCATTTTACAGATAAACAATGGACTTGTCTGTTGTTTGCAGAACTAAAATGTTGTCTCTTCTAGCATACAGAATGACATTGGTCTTATGGCTACTATTCATGTATATTTGGTTGTGGACACACCCAGAAATTAATCTCTATGTTCCCCTTGCCCAAATCTGAAGCTTCCTAGCAGAAGACATCAGAAAAAAGTAGATGAAACAAACTCATTCGTTTTATGGATAGAGGTTGTCTGTCTTCTGAGAATCTTGAAGGGCAACAAACCCCCATCTCCACATTCTGGTCTTAGAGACATGCACAACCTTTATTAAAAAGGAGTTAGCTGCATCAGTAATATATTATTAATTCAGTTACCCTCTCTGACCTGTTCTCTTACAGTAATAATTACCACCAGTGGGCTTACCCTACCAAGAAAAAAATGCTTACATCCCATTACTACTGGGTTTTCAGTAGCATATCTGGGAGTGCAGTTTAGCAGTTTCAAAGAACAAAAAATAAATAAAAAGGTCAGACAAAAATCACTGAACAATAAGAGAGATTAGCAGCATCAGGGTGTAATGCAGCAAGAGATTTAATTCTGCTTCCATGGAATCTGATCCTTGCTTGTGATTCAAGTGTAATTGAGAGAGAGACTTATATTTTAAAGTGAGCTTCAAGTGGCGTGTTGTGCTCTGACCTTTTGGCTGGCCACACCAGAGCATGGAGAAACCGTATGGGCTAATGCTTTTCCTCTGTTGTGTGTGATGAGAAAAGCATTTTAAAAAAGAGGGGGAGGAGAGAGAGAAAGGCAAGAGAAAAGAGCCAGCATGTAAATACTGTTGCCATTTACCAACATTCCCAAATGTCTGCTCCACCAGCCACATGCCATTTCGAAAGCAATTGTATAAATGTTCCCAAAGAGTGATGGTTTGGAAGACCTGCTGTGCATGAGCATGAAGCAGTGGATATGTGCAAAAAAGGTCTGGATCAAGGGCACAAACATTATTTTTCAGTTCTGTGCTAGCTATATATAAGCTTAAAAAGATAAAGGGAGCCCTGACCATTAGGTCCAGTCATGGCCAACTCTGGGGTTGCGGCACTCATCTCGCTTTATTGGCCGAGGGAGCCAGCGTACAGCTTTAAAGTCATGTGGCCAGCATGACTAAGCCACTTCTGGTGAACCAGAGCAGCGCACGGAAACACCGTTTACGTTCCCGCTGGAGCAGTACCTATTGATCTACTTGCACTTTGACATGCTTTCAAACTGCTAGGTTGGCAGGAGCAGGGACCGAGCAACGGGAGCTTACCCCGTCGTGGGGATTCGAACTGCCGACCTTTTGATCAGCAAGTCCTAGGCTCTGTGGTTTAACCCACAGCGCCACCCGCGTCCTTTATATAAGCTTATTGATAGGCTATGCAAGTATGTGTTGGAGTGTTAGAGGGATGCATTGCACTCTTTTCTCCAGTAAACAAGGTAAAACCCAGGGGTTTCCATTCATTGTTTTCTGATTTTAAAGGAGATGGGATTACTATTGTGCAATATATTTTGTTTTCTATTAATAGTTTCAAGAAATTAAGCAACATGAAGGCCCACTGGTTGTCTTCAGTGCTCCAAGGCTCTTTTCTTCCCTTGAAAAAGCTTGTCTTTCCTCTCCATCTTTTCTCATGGAACAGCACGTTTTTAAGTGAATCAGCAGCAGGAATAGTTTGAAGGAACCTCTTAAGTATAATAGCAGCAGCAGCAATAGGTTTTCTACCCTTCCTTTCTGTCATTAAGATGCCCAAGGCGTTTAACACAGCCGTAACCTATACCAGCTCCTCCAGTGCATCACAAAATAAACCTCAAGCATAAAAGATCAGCAGAATGGATTCAAACAATGATTAGCTGCAGACTGGTTACTGATGAGTAACTAGCCACCATAGTTTCAGAGCTTAGCCTTTTTTATATATTGAATTTTTTTATGTTTGGCACAAGAGCTTCTATTACTCAGACTGATGAAGAGATGGATGCAGCTTAGAACAAAATCAGTCTTTTAGTATTAAATAAATTCGGTATTGCAGTCACTTACTGTTGGTTTTCTGCTCTGTTCTGACTCCTACCTTCACATTTGACCATAAATTATGCTGGAATGCAGAACTATTTACAGTGCTTTTTGTGTTGACATTTAGTCCATGAGGCTTTTTGTATATAGCATTTTAAAGTTTGCATTTAAAGTCAGTTTTCAGATCAGTAAAACATTTGTTTCTAGTAGACAGCTGGGATTCTTTATAACTGTAATAAACTGTGCAAAATGTAAGCCCATCAATATCATTATTAAGAAACATCAGTCCTGAGTCAAGCAGTGCAATGATAATTGAGACAAATATATATGGTGAGGCAAAGGAAAACTTCAGTTCTATAATTTGAAAATGGAAACATGCCCAATCTCTTTTTCTCATAGATTCCCCACCACCACACACTATGTCGTCATCCCTCCTACTGTGAAATGAGGAAAAATAACCTTAATAGATCCCCAGTGGTATAACACAACTTCACTTGGGAATTAAAATGTGGTTTGTACACAGGAATTTGCCCCGGGGGCATTCCATTTATGAGAAATGCTGGAAAAGGGACAGTGCTGTGCAAAGCTGCTAGACAGTTCATTTGAAGAATTATCAGCTTCTTGCAGAAGAAAGCACATGGGAAAAATATTTATGTATCACAGAAAGCCTATGTAATTAATCCCTACCACATCTTCTTCCATGCTAAGGCAACAGGATAGAAAAGAGCCTGGAAGACTTAGTCTGAAAATTATGTCCTTCAAATCCAGCTATTACTTGGCAACCAGTATATGATATAGGTAGAAATAATCTTTTCTGACTGTCTGCCACAGTAGCTGAGCTATTTCATTTATGTATTTAAAGGTTTCTCGTCCACACTTCATTGGCACCAGTACCAGGACAAAGGACTATATAAATTATTTAAAAAGATTGAAAATAAAATCTGAAAAAACTGTCAAACAAAACAGCTAAACGCAGTCAGAATGCATGGATTACCCCATTTGCCTGTAAAATGTACAAAGATGGGTCCTCAGCACTTTTTGAAAATGCTTGCGTTCAGTCATTTTATTTAGAGAAAATGATATTTTCTTTGGTGTGTAAGGCCTTGATATCAGAAACCACTGACAGCACAGCATGACTTAAGATAGCATAACTTGGGGTTGGAGACTATGACAGACTGGAAGAAGATCGGGATCTGGCAGCCAATATACACACCCTCTGCAAGAGTTAAGGAGTCTGCTGTTAAGGTAGTTAATCCGTAGCATCTGAGAGCAGTGTGGTTTTATCATACTGGCATGCAGATATTGCCTAACTTGATTTCATCTGTGGTGGACTTTGGGTGGCGATGTTTCACTCCGCTTCAAGGGTAGCTGGGCAAACAGTTGTTCTGGATCCACCACTGGTTCTGTTGTGGCTTTCAGAAACATTAAAAGGGAACTAGTGCATATATGCTGTAAGCCACCCAGAGAGGCTGGGAAAACCCAGCCATATTGGCAGGGTATAAATAGTAAAATTATTATTATTAAAGACTCAACAGTGTCACATGAATAGGCTGACGCAAGTCTAGTAAACCTACTGATAAGGGTGTGTGAGGGAGAGGATTGCGAGTTACAGGCAGATAGAACTGTAGGTGGGAAAAATGCAGCCACCCTATTTAATGGGTCTCTTCTTTGTAGCTTATATGGGAAATGACCTTTTTAGAGACCATTTTGATACCACGTGATGTGCCTGTTTACTCAGCATTTCTAGGTTTTAAACAGTGACTATTTTAGTGTTCCCTTGTTTAGCTTTTTTTAAAAGTGTTTTGATGCTGTTAACAAACATTGGAGTACAGATGTTCTTGTCACATTACCTTAATCTCTTAATATTTATGCACAGCACAGAGGTATCAGATGGTGGAACCACGAAACTGTGCAAAAGTAGGGAAATGACGATATGAAGAAAATATGGAGGAAGCTATAGATTCTGTTACACAGACTGCAATTCAGAGTAGTCCTTTTGCAAACAGAATGTCCCATTTTTTCGCAGTGGAAGAGTCCATTCACAGAAATAATGGAGCAGCTTTCCTCCCAATTCCCCCTTTCCTCCTGTAATCTCCCCATACTGCTCCAGAAGGTCTCTTGGCCACCCAAAGAAGTAGATTTTTGGGTGACATAGGAGAGAGAAATCTGCAAAACTATTCTCTTACCTTCCATGAGTAGAGCGCAACTTGCATATCTTTGGAGCCAACCCATTGACCGGAATATGCCCTGATCCTTATTTAATTACAGCAGTTGTGGTTCAGGTTTGTTTTTTTAAAGATACTCCTGTATAATGTGTATTTTTCTCACTGATCATAATGCCAAATGGCTACATAGCTAACAAAATGTGGTTTATCTTTTAGGTGGGTCTTTTCCGGAAGTCAGGTGTGAAATCCCGAATACAGGCCTTACGCCACATGAACGAAAGCTCTCCTGAAAATGTCAACTATGAAGACCAGTCAGCGTATGATGTGGCAGATATGGTAAAGCAGTTTTTCAGGGACCTGCCTGAGCCTCTGCTCACTAGCAAATTAGGAGAAACGTTCCTCCACATATATCAGTGTAAGTACTAGGGTTGTTTCCATTAGGAGTGAATGTGGACTATTAGACCTTTAAACTATTCAGAGCCTGGCTTAAAGCAAGCTTTCCCAAACTTGGGTCTCCAGCTGTTTGTGTACTACAACTCCCATCATCCCTAGCTAGCAGGACCAGTGTTCAGGGATGATGGGAACTGTAGTCCTAAAACCAGCTGGGGACTTGGGAAGCCCTAGTCTAATGTGCTTGCTGAGATCATACTAGCAGCAGCATCAACAACAACAAAACCCCTTCTCGCCTTGCTGTTTGATTTACCAGCAAACACATAAAATCAGCTGGCCCCAAAGTAAGAGGAGGAAATGGAGACACCGGCAGGAGCAGCAAGTTGCATTTTCCTCATGAAGCCCAAGCCAGGGCTGCAGTCAAAACTTCTTAAATAACACCAGTTATTGAAAGGGTATGTGTGATTTTCTGGTGTGTAAACATAATAACAGTGGGCTTCAGTTTTGTTTCACTGAAAGACAATCTGTAGATAGCCCGTAATTTTAAAAGGAGGGTGTTCTTTTTTGTAATTTTCTTGCTAAGATCCGGAATTGTTTCATGGCACACCATGTTCCTGTTTTTCATGCTTCAGAACCAGCAGCATCCCAAGGTGGGAAATGCTATGTCTACCTAGTGTGGTGTTTTCCACAGGGTAAATCTCAGCATCTCTCATTTTCTTATGGATGCATGGGCAATCAAAATTGCATGGATGGGCAGAGCATCAATCAAAATTCCAGCCACCCTGGATTTTCCTTGCTGCCCTGTACATGCTTTGCAAGGGGGAGGGGTAAATGCAGGTAAGAAAAGGAAGTTGTGATTGGTTCTGGCTGGTGGGCCCAAGCACTGTGGTTTATAAAAGGAGTTGGAAGATATCCCCCTCCCCCAGCATAAAGAAGTCTGTCCGCTCCTGTTCTCTTGAAAACACTGCATTTCCCCCCAGCCTAGGAATTTGGAGCTGTAATATATTCACCTCACCATCTTTTTCCTCTAAAAAAAAAGTTCAAATAAAATGCTTGACTGACAGCACAATTGCAATCCCAGGTACATCTACTCAAAGGTAAATCCCACTGAGTTCAATCAAGCTTACTCCCAGGGAAACTGGGTCTAGAGTTGCAGCCTGAATCTTCAAATAGAGAGAAGATAGCGGCTTGCTGAAGCGTGTACTATAAAGCAGTTTCTCCTATTCTTTCATTGGTTTAGTGTCTGATTTACACAGGGGAACCTTGAATGCAAGCTGAGTGAACAGAGTGGTGGCTTGTGAATTAGTTTTATCAGGCGTAATATTTAAGCTTCCTCCATTCGTGAATTTATTAAACTCCCCACTACCACCACACACATACCCCTTGGCTCTGTAGAGGAGGACACACATTTCCCAAGCTTCCCTATTCTTTTCTTGTTGTGCCACAAACAATGTTGCCGAGAAAAGAGCATGCAGTGTTATGGCATTGCGCTCTCAAAAGGAAATGAGGTCCCTGTTCACTGCGTGGCCCACTCCACTTCCCAGAGATTTAACTGCAGCAGTAAAACTGTCCAGATGAACTCTGCAGGGACAGAAAGGGCTTATAAAAACCTGTGTATTCTGCCAGGGTCTTAAGGGCTGCTGTGCCGGTTTAATTTTGGATCTCTGCTTCCTGACTGTACTTAAACTGTATTTGTGCTACTGACTGTATTTTTACAGGGTTTTATTGGGCTTTATGGGTGAAGCCCAGCCATGCCCATCTGCCAGTGGAGCAGACAAGGTTAGCTGAAAGGATTTCCCCCTCCCCCTGCAGCCCCCTGCCCACCTCTACAATCGGCCCAGAGCCCCAGTCCTTCTGAGCAGATCTGGGAAGGATGCAGGCTGGGGCTGCAGCAGGGAGGAGATGGAGGGGAAACTGCACAACTTGGGATATTGCCATATGTGTCTGTTTTATTGCTGGTTTGTGAGGTTGCGTTTTAACAGAGTGCATCACCTTGATGGTCCTGATGGGTATAGTAAGATCAGTTACAACTATACATACTACTACTACAAATAGTGAGGGACGCGGGTGGCGCTGTGGGTTAAACCACAGAGCCTAGGACTTGCCGATCAGAAGGTTGGCGGTTTGAATCCCCGCGATGGGGTGAGCTCCCGTTGCTCGGTCCCTGTTCCTGCCAACCTAGCAGTTTGAAAGCACATCAAAGTGCAAGTAGATAAATAGGTACCACTCCAGCGGGAAGGTAAACAGCGTTTCCGTGTGCTGCTCTGGTTCACCAGAAGCGGCTTAGTCATGCTGGCCACATGACCCGGAGGCTGTACGCTGGCTCCCTCGGCCAATAAAGCGAGATGAGCGCCGCAACCCCAGAGTCGGCCACGACTGGACCTAATGGTCAGGGGTCCCTTTACCTTTACATTACTACAAATAGTAGTGGTAGAGGAAAAAGGACAAGATTTTTAAAAGTAGAGATCTTTTCCCGTCTGCACTCGAATTGTTTTAATGTCTTGGGGCTTTTTTCTGCTTGTCATTTGCTGCCCTAGGCTCCTTTGTGAGGGAACGCTGAATATAAATCAAATAAATAAATAAGAGGAAAGAGAAGTGGCAGAGCCAAATCAGAGCTATTGGTGGTCCTGCTGCACAAATCTTGGAGGCTGTCTTTCCAGCCAGTGCCTCTCAGCTCATTGGCTAGACACAGGAGCCTGAAGTTGGGCAAATGCAAGGTGCTCCGTTGACCAGGCAAAGGCGGCAACAAGGCATCTGGTATTATATTTTATACCAGTTCTGGCCGTTCCAGAGGCTTCATATCACCTGCCGATGTAGCACAGCTTGGGTATTTTCACAGACACAGTTTATGGCCATTTACTACTAGCTTAGCCAGCTTGTGCAGTGGTGCCATTTTCTGGTTTCTAATTTCTAAAACGACCCAAGGTGAACAGCAGTGGTGCCTTCAGAGCAGGACCTTGGATGTGGGGCACTGCTAAGCTGCAAAATGCAGCAGGGCTTGCATATATTTTGAAGTAATGCTGTAATACTATACACTCTGACCTGAGAATCAGTCCCATTTGACTCCATGAGAGTGACTTCTGAGTTGGCACGCATACGATTATACTGCAAGTGAAGGGACTTTCAAGTCCAGAGTCTAAAACGACCTGACTGCACCACTGGCGAACAGCAAGGCACAAAGTAGGTCACAGGATGTGAACAAGAAAAACTTACCATTGCTGCACACTAGCTCTCTTCCAGAAGTAATTTGGAGTTTGGAGGTGAGATCTGATGTCCCAAAGCTCTTGTTTGAATTTACAATCAAATTTTTATTAAGCGGCGCGTTTCGTTCCCTCAGATGTTCCAAAAGAACAACGGCTTCAGGCGGTCCAGGCTGCCATCATGTTGATGTCAGATGAAAACAGGGAGGTTTTGCAGACTCTGCTTTGTTTCCTCAATGACGTCACTTCCGTGGAAGAGAACCAGATGACACCCATGAACATAGCCGTGTGCCTGGCCCCTTCGCTTTTCCACCTCAATCTGGTCAAGAAAGAAAGCTCGCCACGGTAAGGAATTGCTACTTTTCTTGCTCTGGGTTGCAAGTTAAGAGTGTTGCTAGGTGCTTATAAAGACTCGGGGCAGAGACGTGTGACCCGCATTTTGCATTTGCTGATTTATATATGTATAGATGCAGCTTTAGGTCTTTGGGTTGCTGGGGTCTTGCCAGTGCTATGCTTTAGAGCATGCACAGCAAACCAGTAAGCAAAGTCTGTTTTTCAAAAAAGTGTGAGAAGGGGCAGGAAATCTGAGACTCAGCACAAAACGCCTACCATTGCCCTAGTTGGAAGCGACATGATTATTCTGAGGCAACCCTAAGTTGTTGACCTTCCTCCCCACAGAAGCATGTCTGAAACCTTCACTATTCAGCTTTCATTTAATGCCGAGGATGCACCTCTTAACCCTGGAGTTTGACAATTGAGGTGTATATTTTTACGACTCACCCTCTTCTTAGGATTGTAATGTTTTAAACTATTTTTTTATGTTGCATTTCAAATTGTCATGATACCCCCTGGAACCTTAGAGTGAAGGTGGGGTAATTCCTAGTAGTAGTAGTAAGAATAATGGCTAAATGTTATACATGGACATTGTAAAATTTCAAGTTTCAGAATTAGGGCGCGTTGAAAGCTTTTATCTCAGTGTCAGCGAATGTATGTGGAAATTCGTTAAAGTTGCTTTGAATTCCTTGCTCAGCCATGAAACTCACTGGGTTACTTTGACCCAGTCACTATCTCTCATCTGAACCTATTTTCTTGTGGCTGTTTTGAGGATAATGAGATAATAAAACCAGAAATTCATATTCCTGGGGGACAAGGTTATCAGTGACTACTAATCATGAGGGCTAAGAGCAGAAGACCAGTTGCTGGAAACTGCAGGAAGGGAGAGTGATATTGTGCTCATGTCCTGCTTGTAGGCTTGCCATAGGCATCATGTGTCTTAAACATGACCTTATGGATGCATTGATGCTTATGAATGACCTTATGGATGCATGGATGCTTATGAATGATGCACAGAAGAAGAGCTGTAGGTCAATGGTAGAGCCGTCGCTAAGCATGCAAAAGGTCCTGATTCAATCCCTGGCATCTGGTAAAACCAATGAAGATACTTATCTGACTAGGTTCCCCCAGCCATTCTAGGCGGCTTTCAACAAATTAAAATACAATACGACATCAAACATTAAAAACGTCCCTGAACAAGGCTGCCTTCAGATGTCAGATAGTTGTTTATTTCCTTGACATCCACAAGTCGGGCGCCACTACCAAGAAGGCTCTCTGCCTGGTTCCCTGTAAGTTCACTTCTTGCAGGGAACCGCCAGAAGGCCCTCGGAGCTATATTTCAGTGTCCAGGCTGAATGATGGGGGTGGAAACACTCCTTCAGGCAACTTGTTATGTTTGACTCTTTAACCTTTTAGTGATTTTTATTTCTTTGCCATGAGAATGTTTAAGGCATCCCCTTTCTCCTCAGTACAAAGGGTTTTCCCTCAAACGATAAAAGTAGACTGTAAAAGACTCTTTGTAGGTTGGTACTGAAAAGTTATAAGTGTCACAACGTCGCCTTTCATCTGAAAAAGGCTGTTGTTCCTTTATCACACTTGAAACACTGAATTCATTTGCAGAGTAATACAGAAGAAATACGCAACAGGGAAGCCTGATCAGAAAGATCTCAGTGAAAACCTGGCAGCAACTCAGGGACTTGCACACATGATAGCAGAATGCGCTAAACTTTTTGAGGTGAGTGAAAGATTCAGAAGTCAATATTCACAAGAGAACATGCTTTCAAGTACTTTGCCTATAAAGTTCCACTTTAGCCTTGGAATAAAAGTTTATGCACTGGAGTATTTTGTTGCTCACCTGGAAGGACCTCTATGTGATTTCCTCTGTAACTTTCTGGAACATTGTTATTCAATTTATCAGTCTCTTTCATCACAAAAGGTTACAGTTGTCCAAAAAAAACCTTCCATATATCTTTGTGATTTGAGTGGTCTCATAAGAACAGTCTGTTCTATGCTATAAGGATAGTATAGTGTTCTATACTAATGTTACTTGAATATAGAATAAAGTCTTAACCTACCTAGTATTATTTGGACTTGAAGAACAGCCCAGTGGACAAGACATAACAGTGAACCAATAGACAAGCGCCGTTCAGGTGTTCTAAGTAGTCATGTGATGAAGGAGAGGAGGGGCAAGTGCACTGCTTCCAACCATGTATCACTGTTGATCTCCACAAGGTGGAAGGATAACTCCTGCTTGAGTGCTCCAGTTCCCCAAAGCTGGTGGAGTGGCAAAACTTGAGTGCTCCAGTTCCCCAAAGCTGGTGGAGTGGCAAAACCCAAGCAGGGAGGGAAGACAGGTAGCGTACTCCCTTTCTCATGCAAGGGCAGAGGAACAGCACCTCAACGGAACTCTGACACATTCAGTATTCCTTTTTGGAATTTAGATATTTGTAATCTTACAATTATTTGGGACACGGGTGGCGCTGTGGGTAAAAGCCTCAGCGCCTAGCGCTTGCCGATCGAAAGGTCGGCGGTTCGAATCCCCGCGGCGGGGTGCGCTCCCGTTGTTCGGTCCCAGCGCCTGCCAACCTAGCAGTTCGAAAGCACCCCCGGGTGCAAGTAGATAAATAGGGACCACTTACCAGCGGGAAGGTAAACGGCGTTCCGTGTGCTGCGCTGGCTCGCCAGATGCAGCTTTGTCACGCTGGCCACGTGACCCAGAAGTGTCTCCGGACAGCGCTGGCCCCCGGCCTCTTAAGTGAGATGGGCGCACAACCCTAGAGTCTGTCAAGACTGGCCCGTACGGGCAGGGGTACCTTTACCTTTTAATCTTACAATTAGTGTCAGGCAGATATTTCCAGACAGGATTTCTATGAAATAGGTTTTGCACAAAAATATTAATTCCAAATCAATTCTTCCATCTCTTCCCCCACTCGCAGATCCCACATGACATGGTAACACAGTCTCGGAATTCGTATGTTGAGGCCGAAGTGCATGCTCCAACTCTGGTGGAACTGGGCAAGCAAATGGACGAAGAAGGTGGGAATTACCGGACCTACCTAGAAAGTCTAATACAGAGCCTCTGCAAAGAAGCGAAAGAAAAATTCAAAGGATGGGTCACTTGTTCCAGCGCAGAAAATACGGACCTGTGCTACAAAAAGGTGAAACTACCAAAACGTATATTGTCAAATTTTGCATGATATTTGGGGAACCCTCTTCAAACCCCAGAAAAATGTTGATCAGGATTCAATGAGACACACCTGTGTGTATATAACCATAATACATAGCAAGTGGAGGCAGAGAGGGAATATATAATCAATTTTTTAAAACTTCTTTTTTAGGAAAGCTAACAAGACACATACAAATAATGTCTATTAAATAAAATGTTTTCAATTAGAACCAGCACTTCATGTTTGACATTTTCAGACAGAAAAGTGCAGTTCCAATATCTAATAAGCAGTTCCCATTGTCTTTGAAGTTGATTTTCCCATCCTTTAAATCAATGATGCCTAACCTGTAGCTTCCTAGATGTTCTGGGACTACAACTCCCATCATCCCTGACCATGCTGGCTAGTACTGATGGGAGCTGGAATCCAAGAACATCTGGTGGGCCACAGGTTCTCTACCCCTGACTTAGACGCTTAAAATAAGTCAATTTTATACTTCACTTCTACATATCCAAGTTTCCATTGGTGGTGGCTAATCCAATGTTCAGCCATTAGTTTGCTGCCCTTGATTAATAGTTTTGCCACACATTGAACATGGGATTTCATGTAGCTCAGCAGTACAATTTAGTGGAAGCATGAATGAGATTTCAATTCATAATCAACAGGTGCTGGCATTCTGAGGGCCCTTCTTTCCCCTCTAGCCTTTGTGCACCCCAAAACCAGCTTATGAAGGTAAGGAACCTTCCAGAGTGGCATCCAAAATAGTGCAGGTTGCTATCTGCAGGGGAAATATATATTTCCTGGGGGCAGGCAGAAATACTTTAGGTACACAGACTGGCTTCTTTGGGTTTTTCTCCTTGTCTCATTCTGTACGCTTAACCCATCATTGCTTTCCCTTCTCTTGTCTTCCCTTCCTCCTTACCGCCACTCCCTCGATTAAGGTAGGAGATGGAAACCCATTGAGGATTTGGAAGGCATCCGTGGAAGTTGAGGCTCCTCCCTCTGTTGTATTGAACCGAGTTCTAAGAGAACGCCATCTCTGGGATGAGGATTTCTTGCAGTGGAAAGTCATTGAAACGTTGGACAAGCAGACGGAGGTCTACCAATATGTTCTGAACAGTATGGCTCCCCATCCTGCTAGAGACTTCTTAGTTCTCAGGTAAATTAATTTAGTGGTAGAGTATGTTAGCAACCTTACCGCCAAGGCACATTGAATATTTAGACATTTGTACTTCATATGGCATTGTCCTTTTTTTCTATCATTATTATTTTTACCCAAATGACTTTTCTAATTTTGTGTAGGACCATAATAGCCCAGATAAATCAGGCTAGTGGTACGCCAGCATCCTGTTCTCGCAGTGGCCAACCCAATGCCTATGGAAATCCTGCAAGAACCAGAGCGTGATAATTCATTCCCCTCCTGTGGTTTCCATTCACTGGTATTCAGATGCATTCCTGCCTCTGACCATGGAGGCAGAGCATAGGTATCACAGCTGGTAGCCTTATCCACCATTAATTTATCTAAACATCTTTTAAAGCTAGGGTTGCCATATTTCAAAAAATAAAATTCCTGACACCCACAAAGTTGTGGAGCTTTTTTTTAAGGAAACCCAAATTGTTGAGCTTTTAGTGGTTTTAAGCTTTTGGAGCTGTTTCCGTACATCCAGGTTTTCCCTGACATTTTGCCAATTCAGCAGAGTTCCCCCCAATGCCATTTTTACACCTGAAAACCAGAACATGTCATTATTTATTCCCTGACATATGGCAAGCCTGTTTTAAAGCCATTCACATCAGTTGCCATCATTTCCTCTCATGGGAGTTTAACTACATTGGCATTTTGCAGTGTTTATGTCAGGGGTCAGCTAACTTTTTTAGCAGGGGGCCAGTCCACTGTCCCTCAGACCTTGTGGGGGGCCGGACTATAATATTGGGGGGAAATGAACGAATTCCTATGCCCCACAAATAACCCAGAGATGCATTTTAAATAAAAGCATACATTCTACTCGTGTAAAAACACCAGGCAGGCCCCACAAATAACCCAGAGATGCATTTTAAATAAAAGGACACATTCTACTCATGTAAAAACACACTGATTTAGAAGGCGATTGGGCTGGATCCGGCCCCTGGGCCTTAGTTTGCCTACCCGTGATTTATGTTGAATGTAGATGAAGGCACATAGCTTAAACTCCTCAGCAAACAACAGAAAATACACTTCACTCGTAGCAGATATCTATAAAATCAGTTCAAATCTCTTTCTAAAAAAAGGACACCTTTGCATCTTTCACTCTGAAAACTATTTATTCAATGATGCCATTAAACCATAAATATTGGCAGCTGTCTCAAACAAGGACTATTTAATATATGTAGCTATGTAGGGTATCAGAACAGCATTAATTCCACTGATCCAATTGTTCTGGGGTTTTCCTGTAGTGGCCCCATAAGGAGTTGTGTTTCTCATGGCAGGCTGATACTTCAGTTTCTATTACTACCCTCCCCCATTGTGTAAGAAGTGCTTATGTAGGTGGCATCTTCCTTGGCTGGGGGTGGGGTCCTAGCTGCCTACCAAACTGAGGAAATGCTGGAACTGCCATAAGACTTCAACCCATCTTTATTTTCCTGGTTCTGCAAAGTATATTTCCTGACTCCACCAAGTATATATAAATATTTAATCTGTGACAGCCTTCTTCTTCTCCAAATCCATCAGGACTGAGACAGGTAGACATGCTGGCTTGAAATTTAGTTTGGAAACAAAACAGAGTAAAATCAGTAAAATGCTATCCCCTCAGAAAATTACAACCTAAGAGACTTGTTCTTGCTGCTCAGCTCTCCTCCTACATTGTCCCCTTAAACATGCTCACATTTCATGGGTGCCAGGACTGGACATCCACTCTCCCAGCTTCTTTCTGTGAGCAAGTGTGGTGGCTGCTATAAGTGCCTCTTTCCATTGACAAGGTGCATTCCTTCAGCATTTTGTGCTCCTGTCCCTTTTTTCTTTTCTTTTACATGTGGCAGCCATGTTGTGTTATGGCATGCTCTCATTGGCAGCCATTTTGTGTTAGGCCACACTCCCACAGCGGCCATATTTGCCCTTCTTCTCTCAAATCACTCTTCTGCATTGCTGTACTGAGGCAAGTATTCTACTGAAAGAATAGAGAGACGCAAGGCTGGATGCCTTATTTCTTTCCCTCCAATTCACATTTCCTGTCTTAAAACCTGTTTCAACAGGACGTGGCGAACCGATTTGCCTAAGGGGATGTGCATATTGGTGGCTGTATCCGTGGAACATGAAGAAGCCCCTCTGATGGGAGGAGTGCGAGCAGTTGTTATGGATTCCCAGTACTTAATAGAGCCCTGTGGCTCTGGGAAATCTCGCCTGACACACATTTGCAGGGTGGACCTGAAGTAAGTATCCACCAGTGCCAAGATCCTGGTCAACAGGCTTCCTGAACAGAACTAGCATTTCTGAGCATTGATTGGCAAAGTTAGAGGAGTGCAGTTACTTCTGTTAAGAGAAACAACTTCTACTTGCTTGGTTAATATAAAAACGGGATTTTTTTAAAAATTGCTTACTAAGTATTGTATCACCTTTGGCCCAATGGAACTTACTCTCAGGCAACTGTGCGTGGACTGGTTTAGCTCCATCTCCAGCATGATTTTTTAGCTATTCAATTATCCTTAGATTGATTCCATGGAGATACGCTCCTCCCAAAGTATTGTCAATTACAGCTCAGTTTCTGAACAGTTGTGCTTCAAGAGATCCACCATGTGCAACTGGTGGCAGTTAGTCAACAAGCCATCTCCATGTGGCTGGTGAATATGAAGCTAGCAGGCCATCTCACTACATAGTGCCATAAAAAAATCTCTGAACTGTTGCCCAAACTGGCCCCAAGGAACGCATTATAATGAGCAGGAACATTTCACAAGGAACAAATACTCCTGTTTCTAAAAAGTTTATGTGAATGTTACCAATATAAGACCCATTCCATTGCTGTACTGGGCATCATGATGCAACATGAAGACGACTATTACCTGCCTTGACAGCCAAATAGAAGAAAACTCTGGGATGTCTCATGAAACATCAGTACTAAGAGTGCTTGGTAGGGAAGGGGGCTGCCACTGCTTCTTAGGAGGAGTGAGGCAGTGGGGAGGTCAGCGCTGTGCAGTTGCCCCAGCAGGATTGGCTCTGCTGATGTTCTCACTCAGCTCCCAGCCTCCCCACTGCCTCACTCCTCTCTTTCCCAGTAAGAGGCAGCAATGTGGCTACCTGGAGGCCAGGTGAATGGTGGCTCCCCTCCTCACCAACCACTCCTGTTTTGTGTGCATGGCCTTCCTTGTGGGAAAGGGGTGATGAAGGTAAAGGTAAAGGTACCCCTGCCTGTACGGGCCAGTCTTGACAGACTCTGGGGTTGTGCGCCCATCTCACTTAAGAGGCCGGGGGCCAGCACTGTCCGGAGACACTTCCGGGTCACGTGGCCAGCGTGACATCGCTGCTCTGGCGAGCCAGAGCCGCACACGGAAACACCGTTTACCTTCCCGCTAGTAAGCGGTCCCTATTTATCTACTTGCACCCGGGGGTGCTTTCGAACTCCTAGGTTGGCAGGCGCTGGGACCGAACAACGGGAGCGCACCCCGCCGCGGGGATTCGAACCGCCGACCTTTCGATCGGCAAGCCCTAGGCTCTGAGGCTTTTACCCACAGCGCCACCCGCGTCCCTTTGTGATGACTATACTGCTGTGCAAAGCAAACGTCATTCCTGCTCTTGCATCTCTACATGATTTTGTGCACGTTATGTGTTTGCAATCCTGTGAACAGGATCTAATCCAAGGATAGTGACCCTGTGACCCTCTAGATATTGCTTGGACCATTAGCCGGACCATTAGCCATACTTTCATGCACTGCTAGGAGTTGAGAGTCCAGCAACATCCATAGGGCCACAGATTTTGCCATTCCTCATCTAATTTGTCATTCAGCGCTTCTGTCCCTAGTGTATTCTTTTGTGCTTAAACAATCTAATTTGAATTTTGAATCCTCAGAGGATTATAAAATGAACAGCAGTTGTGGGGGATTTCTTTTGTGATTTAAATACAGTTCTAAAATTCACTGAGAGATAAATATATAATCACACTCTTCTGGGGTAAAACTGTACTTTAGCATACAGATGAGTTCTCTTGAAGCTCCATCCTTCTGTGCGATTCCGTGTGTTTATTTCTTGAAAACTGTTAATAATGTATCACTTCAGCTGATCTTTCCACTCAGTGCAGTAAAGCTGGTGCTATTATTCTCAAAACATTTTAGTTTTTGCCTTCAGCCCTGCACCCATTTGTGAAAACAGAATTCATCTGAACTAGTCATGCTCATGTGTTTGTGACCAGGACTGTAATGTGTGTGTGTGCGCTGCAGAGTTCTTTTTGTTTGTCCTCATAACAGCACTGCCACTGTTCCCATTTTATAGATGATAAAATGGCCCCAACTTGATAATCCAAGTGTAAAGAACATGTCACAGGTTATAGAAAGCATGCTTCCATATTTTTTCCGCACATTTGAACTACTACAACTACTTTCAGACACGTGAATGCTCTTCAGAGACTGCAGAAACACATAGCAGAAATGCAGGCGCTCAGCCTTTGTATTATGTGTGAGATACAGGATTTGAACCCAGCTTTCCTGGACTCGGGCCAAGCAATCTAAACATTGTCCATTCTGGCTTTCTCCGTGTCAGGGGTAAAATGTACATTTTATTCTGTGTAGTGGAGTTTTTAAGTCCACGATTTTCAGACGTGACCATAGCTGCAATGTTTAGCACCGTGGTGCGTATAAGACTCCTCTGCCTGTTTTGTTAGTGTTTATGTCCTACCAACATGATGAGGCTGGGGGAAGAACATGATTAACAGTAATTTTCCTCTTTCTCCCTCCAGAGGTCATTCATTAGAGTGGTACAACAAAGGCTTTGGACATCTGTGTGCAGCTGAAGTTGCCAATATCAGGAATTCATTTCAACCGCTGATTGCTGAGGGACCAGAAACAAAAATATGAGTGCTGGATACCGAGATATATGGAGTTCCATGGACAAACTAGAGCCACTGGGTGGTTTTAACCTACATTTGTGCAATAGCCAAGCAAGGATTGATTGGGCAGCTCTGCCATGGTCTGGTAATGTCACTCACTTACCCTCCCAGCCCCATCCTGTATTCGTTGATCTCCTTCACTGAAGTTGTCCAAGAACTTTTTCAGGCTACACAAATTGACTGTGGTCATTGCTTTTCCATTGCGTAATTCTAATATTTAAAAGCTTCTGAGAAGCTTATTTTAAAGTGTAAATAAGAGATGTAAATACTGTATAGACTTTGCTATGTATCATATCTGCCTATATATATATACATACATATATATACACACACACACACAACACACACACATATATGTAAATATAATAAGTTTTGTATATAAGAGAGAACTTTCTAGAAGAAACTTCCTGCATCTGTTTGGAATGATTTCCATTCTGTTAGATCTCAGCATCTCCCAGTTTCTGTAAACAGCATTTGCTATTACTGTTAAAACCATGACATCATCCGCGCGGTGACTATCAGCCAAGTGGAGTACTTAAGCTGATCCTATGTTTGCAAAGCTTATATAAAGAGGTGCGTAGAGATGGGCATACAGGGTTGAGAAGGGGCTGCTAGGAGGCAAGGGAAGGGCAACGAACAGCAGAAAAGCAGTCCTGTCAGATAGCACTGGCAGACAATAATCTACAATTGCCTGCAGAAAGCAGCAGCTGAGAATATATGATAGGTATCTTTGAAAAAGGAATAGAGAAGTTACAGGATCAGCTCACTGTTTTCAGTTTTCAGAATATTTGCTAAGACTGTTGGGCTAATCCTTAGACACCATGGTAACAAGGAAATGCTTAGAACAGCTGGTGAAGCAACTGTTGAGCCCATGAGACATCTTACTTACCACATCCAGTAACTGTTGCTTAAACTCACATTGCAAGGATGGGCCTTCAAATCAGTCACTCCAGAACAGTCCTCTTCACATCTGTAGGGATATTCTATAGCAAACAGTACTTAATCTAAGGCTTTGTGATTTGAGATCCTATCCAAAGATTTGCTGTCCCGGGACATAAAGATTTGGGTCCCGATTCAGAGAAAGTTGCTCATGGTTAAATTTCATTGAAATCAAATGGAACTTGAGTGGGTCATGACTAGCAATAGCCCTGAAGTGAGCCATGCAGATAACTTTCTGTGTTGTGGGGTTTTCCTATAAATAAGCAATAAACAAAGTTTACAGTTCCCTGATTCAGCAGCTCATAATGGTCTTTGAAAAATCATTGTGGCCCCATAGTTTTTTTCTGCAGCTTTTCAGATTATAATCCAAGCCGCACAAGAACTTCAAACTCACTTCCTCCAACTCCCTCGCCTGGCTGCAACTGTTCCAGTGTCAGCAGGCGCAGAGGCTCTTAATTCACTCTCTGGCACCTGAGATGCTGCTATGCTAGCATTCCAAGAGCCAGGAAAGAAAAGAGAAGGAAGCAACAGCCAACACAGCCAGGCAAAGAGAGAAATGAGACCTTTTACAGCCAGGCAACTAGGTAAGGAAGTTCAGTGCAGTGAGGGGTAAAGGATTTCTACTGCATTGAGCTCCCGTTGCTGGGGTATGTGATGGGACACAGAACATTTCCCAGCATTTTAGCAAATTAACACAGTTGGCCAAGCCCATACAAATCAAGCTCATATTTGGGAAACCCAGGCAGGTGGGCAGGGTATAAATAATAAATTATTATATTATTGGGCTAACCCATGTCCATTACTTGTCTAAGTTTCCCCATTGATTTTAATGAGGCATAACAGTGATTAACTTTCTCTGATATGGAGCTTTAGCTTGGGATACAGCAACAGCCATGCCAGCACATCGCTAACCATTATATTCTACTAGTATTGCACTCATGTTGCATGCCTATAATGAAGTACAAATTGGACTACTGGTGTGAAGAAAACAATACCCAGCAACAGAGCAATTTTGCCAGATAAACATTGTTTCCAACAACATTAGGATCCTTAAAAATAAAAATATCTATATAGCTGCTGCTGCTGTTGTTAATAATAGTCTTAAAGCAACCCACTTAGAATTCTTGCTTATATAAACACAAGCTGATGTCCCCATTGTATCTGAAATTATTCCGCGCTTTGTTTCCATCTGCACAATAGGAACGAGATCTTTTACAGGGCAATCCTACACATGCTTAGTCAAAAGAAAGCCTCATTGATGTTAACGGGGCTTACTCCAAGGTAAGTGTGTCTAGGATTACACCCTTAATAAGCTTTTTACTAAACAGAATAAGCTTCTTATAATGTGTGTCACAAATTTAAAAAGTGCAATGGTAAACTCTGGGAAGAGGTAGTACTGTATCTCTGGAGCACCTTTAAAGAACACAAGAGGAGCGTCCTGGATCAGGCCAAAAGCCCATCTAGTCCAGCATCCTGTTTTCACAATGGCGACCCTGATGCCAGCACACAGGACATGAGTGTGACAGCATTCTCCCCACCTGTGTGTCCCAACAACTGAAACTCAGAGGCATACTGTCTCCCAACAGTGGAGGGGCAACACAGTTACCATGGCTGGTAGCCTTTTCCTTGCTGAATTTGTCTCATCCTCTTTTAGGTGGCCATCGTTACCTCTTGTTGGGAGCAAAACCCCTAGTTTAACTAGGTGCTGTGTGAAAAAGTACTTTCTTTTGTCTGTCCTGAATCTCCAAACATTCAGCTTCATTGGGTGGTCCTTTTTCATCTGATGGCCTTAGGCCTTGATCCTAAATGCATGGCTTGGAAGCAAATCTGTCCCGTTCCAATGTCAGCACATTAGGATAGCAGCTGTCCTCAGGATGTCATTTTGTTCCTCATGAATCAAAACAGGAATAGCTGCTGGTATTCTAGAATGGTAGCCTAAGAGTCCATTGGCAGTACGTAATCAGGGAGTACTTATTTCTCATTCTGAAAGGGGGGAAATGTTGTAAAGCAAATCATTATTTTTTGAAGTAATTTATGGAGACAGGGTGAGCTTTTTTAAAGAAAGGAAAGAAACTAGCATGGAACAAAATGCAGTTTCGTTCCTAATTTAGTTATTTTCATATTAATTAAGTCAGATTCACCCTGACTTTCTATGTATTGTGGTACATGGTTGTTTTTTCAGATTGCACACTCACTTGTGAGTAGGCCCCGTTGAACTCAATGGGCCTTACCATTGAGCAGACATGCATTGTGCTGCCAGTGTTTTAATTCATTGTTTTCAGTCAATCAAAATGTGCCATTGAATTTGATTGAGTAGAATACAGTATATTTTCCTGGAGAAGAGGGTTGCCTTTTTTCCTGTCAGGTCTCTTTACCTTGAACAGCAGAGCTGACAAGCACAAATTAATTCAATATATGAAACTTTTTCCAGCGTGTCAATCTGCGGCAGTGAGGAAAGATTCACTTCCCGAATTTCTGCTTGTCGCACAATGGTTGTTTTGGAGCATAGTGCAGAAACAGCTTTTCACGGGATTCTGTGGTGACTATAGTCTGCCTGGATTACATTTAAGCTTTGTGATCTCTGTAGGATTGTGTCTATAAGGAGAACATGCAGGAGCTTCGGGAAATGTCTAGTCTAGGTGATATACAAACCCTGACGCCATGAACCATTCTCCCAGTACTTCCAATTCTAGAAAGAGAGATGCCACTGGATTAATATTAAACCATACTCATATTCACCTCAGTGTGTGATGCAGACTGAGGCCAAGACCAAAAGAAGGAAAACCTCAGGTTTAGGATTGTAGATTTTAATTTTGGTGAGCCTGGGCCAGTCGTAGTTGATGGACGGCAGCAGCAGCGAATACCTGACTCTCCCCCAGCAGCATCACTGTCACTTAATAGGAGGATGAGAGTTGAGGCAGCGAGGCTCTTCCCATTGTCCCTGCAAGGTGCTGACTTCTCTGCTGCTACCTCTCCTCACAGGCCACAACTGGCCCAGCCTTACCAAAAGTACACTAAGGGGTTTCCCCCCTCATTACAGTGGTACCTCGGGTTACAGACGCTTCAGGTTACAGACTCCGCTAAGCCAGAAATAGTACCTTGGGTTAAGAACTTTGGTTCAGGATGAGAACAGAAATTGCATGGTGGCGGCAGCACAAGGCCCCATTAGCTAAAGTGGTGCTTCAGGTTAAGAACAGTTTCAGGTTAAGAACGGACCTGCAGAACGAATTAAGTTCTTAACCTGAGGTACCACTGTATTATTTTCATCATGGCCTTAGCTTGCATGCAATACCTGTAAGGAGTCATGTGGTATTTCCATGCTGTACAAGTCCATCCCATGGAAAAAAATCATACCAATCCCTTAACATGGCCACACAGAAGGGAGTAGTGCCAAGTCAATCTTCTCAATGCTGGTGTACAGCTGAATACTTATCAAGCCATTCCAAAACATCATAATCCTAAATGCAGAAATTGTCACTCAAAACCAGAGGATAAGCCATATTGAATTACTGTAGGTGACTCAGGAGATGCTTCCTGTCAGTAGTGCAGCAATATTTATTGTAAATATGTAGATCAGGGGGAAGCAACTTCTCTCTTTGCAGGGAAATGTCTTCTATTTTCGGTACTCAAATTTATCTGGATTTGTACCAGGAAGTTGTGTTTGATGGGGTGCATAAGTGCATGTTGACTTCCCTTCTTTGCCAGGATCATACAGTAGTAATTTGTTAGAACTTATGTTTACCCCAAGGATTGGTGTAATAAAATATATAATATTCACTAACCTTCCCCAACTCTGTTGGACCATTGGCCATGCTTCTGGGTTTTCAGTTGGACCAGGTTGGCACTCCACCAGGTTGGAGAAGACTGATTTAGGCCTACAATACAAATCAGAAAGTTGGCACCGTAAACTGGAACCAACTTTTTCAAACACACTCACTGCAGTTTCCTAGATGAAAATGGCAGAGCCATCATACACCAAGATCATCCAAAAACGACATCGCACCAATTTAACCCCTTACCCACTCTTTCCTATACCTTTACAATCAGTAGGGATGAATGATAATTTTGGAAGGAGTCAAGAAATGACCTCTGTCACTTTAGTAGTCCCCAAGTAATTCCTGGTTGAGTCAGCCCCTTGGCATTTTGTCTCAGCTCATCAGCCTGTTTCCCTCCTCCACACTTCCACAAACTTATTAAGTTGTAGGAGGATGAGGTGAGGAGGGGAAGCAGCTGCTGAGGTGAAAGCTTAAGGCTGCTTCTGCAGAGGTAAGCTATAGAAAATATTGACTTTTATTTCTCCTGACTCATTGACTGGAAAGGCTATTTTAAAAAAATCCAGCTATAGTACGCAGAATTAGGTCAAGCATGTCCAGTAAAGACTTCTTGGACCTTGCTTTGCTCACTTTGGGAGGTGCAATTTTTTGTTGTTTTATTTTATTTATCCTGACTCACGGACCTGGACATAAAAAAGCCAACAACCCTACAATTCCCACAATGAAATGGCCAGCTCTACTGTTAGGCAGAATGAGGCAGTCACCCCAGGAAGCACATCCTGGGGAGTGGAGGGGTAGCAAGCTGTGCGACAGAGATTGTGTGACCTATATTTATTACCCCTGAGCTAGTATACTGTCCTCAGTTCAGGTAAAGGATGTTGTCCCATCACTAGTGTTGAGGTATGATTCAAATGCCAGCCTCATAGTCTTGTACATGGGTTGGGGAGGGAGCCATTTTGTTCTTAACTTCAGGCAGCAAAATGTCCAAGGCTGGTCCTGAATGGAAAGTTCAAATATGCTAAAAAGTCTCAATTGCTGAAAGATGGGGATTTAGGGGAAACAGGTCATTTTCACAAGCTCTCTTGGCTGCACTTTCCTTCTTCCACTACAACTTGTACATTTGGGGAAAGACTGAGAAAGGAAATCAGCAGCTGAGAGGGCCGGCAAAAGTGACGGAGCGTCTCCTGCTGTGTCTTTCCTTAAAAATTGAGAATTGCCCCCAAAAGCCTGAGAGGGATGCAGCCTATTCCAACTTAGAATGCATAGATTTTGCCCATCACTAAAAAATAAATTTCTTATTCACAGTATTTGATATGAAAAAATCAGATTCCATTGAACCCAGATAGGCCTCCAGGATCGCATGGCAAGCTTGAGGAAATAATGCATAGTTATTTGCAATTAAATTGGTTTTTAAAGCTATAAATAAACATTTATAGCAGATTCCTTCTGTATGTATAATTGACCAATTCCAAAGAATATATGAAAAGTGGTGACTCATCACCCTCAGGATATATATATATATATATATATATGCTTTCGTAGATTTTCACGGGTACAGGAATGCAGGTTTTGGTGTCCTCGGGTGTCTTCCCGTGTAAAAGTTGGGGTGTCTAGGCGACGTTTCGACGAGGTCTCACTCGTCATCTTCAGGCTGGTGCTTTCGGCTTCTTGTTACTGGAGCAGAGCAGGATCTCAGTGTTTGAGTTCCTATAAATACTGTTGAGGAGGTGTGGTGTATAGCCTCCAATGTTCTGGGCAGAGAGGAAGTTCCCAGGCTAGTGTGCCTTTTCTTCTTTTGTTCCTTAATTACTATAAGGAACTATATATATATATATATATATATACACACTACTGTCCCCTCTCTCATACAGAAAGTTTTGCTGATATAATTCCTAGACCTGCTTTATCTAACCATCTACTAAAATGCATTTCTTAAGACTCTGGATTTGGATGGGGTCTAACTGAAGTTAGTGGACTTGAATCATGATCTCCTTAGGGCAAAAATATTTCCTCACATTTTGTCATTTATATGACACTTTTCTGATAAAAATAAATCCAAAAAGTTTCAAACAATAAATACATTACAAACATTAAAAACTGCAGCCACATAGTATAATTCCAACAAATAATGGATAGTATGTTTAAAAACTGGCTGGAATAAAATTATATTTCATACCTATCTAGGAATGGACAAAGAGGGAGTCAGCAACCCCGAGAAGTCTCCCTCTATTTTTCTCTCGTATGGTAGAACATGTTCTGAGCAAAGTAGAAATTGGGCTTTAACATTTCACTTCGTTGTGGAGTTCTGTGGATTAAATGTTTGGATAGAGTCAGGAAAACTTGGGTTTGGGGAGAGATGGATCATCTCCCATTGCCTCAGATCAGGGGTAAGCAATGAGGTACTCTCCATTTCTTGTGGACAACAACTTCTGTCAGCCCCCAGCCAATTTAGTCAATAGTTGGGGAAGATGGGAGTTGCAGTCAATGGCATCTGGAGGGGGGGCCCTTGGATACCCCTGCCTCAGACTTCTGCTACAATTCCATTTGGTTCCCGTGTTTAGGGATAGAAGTCAAGTAGATATGCTTTTGTCATCTAGCAACCATGTATCTGTGAAATACTGTTTTCTTTTTTAAATGAGTATTAATCTTATCTATCAGAAGAACACTACCATGTTTTCATTAAGTGTTATATTGCCATTGTTAAGTCAATATGGCCATTGTGTGGTTTTTTTTAATGTACTCATATTAATACCTCAATTTTTTTTTACCTCACATCTTTTTATCAGTCAGAAACAACCTGTAAATATATAACATGGAGCTGAATAAAGTGGCATATACTGACGGATTGGATTTACCATCAGTATTACTTTTTGTTAACATGCTATTATATAGTATTTCTTAAAATGTTATCTGATTCATTTTTCCATTCCTACCCCAGCTATCTGTAAAAAAAGAATCACTGTTAATTTGATGTATCTTTATATTACATTTACATCTTCCCTGTCTGATCAGTGTCCACAAATTTCATTTTCTGTTTTGTTTTTTGAGTCTTTTTCAGGGGCAGGGGTGGAATCAAAACAATGAAGTAAAATCACTTATAAACTTTGCTTTACATCTAGTAAAAGCAATATTGATTGCAGAGATCCTCTGAAGCTGTTTTGGTTCAGAAAAGTTTTGCATTGCCTTCTAAAAAGAAGGCAATCTACTAGTTTGTAGCAGTGTAAATGAATGTATTAGTCAAAATAACACAACAATCCATTATATTAGATGTAATGACATACAAAAATGTGTGTGTTAGGAGAAATGCGCAAATATATATATATATGCTGATGAATTTTCATCAGGACTTTTCTCAAAAAGAATCGCTAACTGATGTGGAAAAGTGGAGAGCTAAGCTTAAGACCGGGGAAAAACTAAGAAACTGAGAGAAACTAAAAATGACAGATTCACCCATCCCTGCTTGACTTGTCAACATACACCACAGAATCCTGCTATATTCCTCCAATTATTTAAGACACAAGCTTCGCACAGTTTCCATTTTTACCACTTTATTCTAAGTGTGCTAGGTACATCACTGAAAAATTAAGGCTTACCTTAATTTAAAAACATCCCCGCATTTATTTATTTTTTACTTTTCTCAACAGGCTCCTTCTGTAGGGGACTGCCCCACTTTTACTTACAAATCTTGCTGCCTTCTGAATCTCAGGGTTCTTGGTGAAGCTGTGCAGTGTTTGATCTGATCAGCTGCATTACTTTTCAAGTGATGTGCCTTTCCTGCAGTGGCTCCAAACCTGCTGAGATATTCAAGTTATGGTTATAGACCAGTGTCTGCTGTTGCATTTGTTTTTATAGAGAGTTAGACCCAGACGTCGCCTCCCATTTGCATATGGGAATCCAAGCAAGCCAAGACTCTCACTGGAGAAAGGAGGGAGGAAGGACCACATGCCAGGCTGTTGCAGATGACCCCAAGCCCTCCAACGCAAATTGTCAAAGGGGAGCAGGAGAAACTGCCTCCCCTTCCAGCAAAGCAACACGAGTGAAACTCTGAGCACCACAAGTCTGGATACAAACCTTTATTACAATCCCATCTACTTACCTTATATTTAACGTATTTCCCCAAAGCACTCATCTTCCTCTCAGTATATCAAATTGCACTCATAGACACGAACAAATTCCATCTGGCAGGCAAGAAAAGTTGGGGAGGAGTAACCTTATAAGCAGCCAGGGTAGTGCAAGGTCAGAGAATAATAAGTGCTGCTCAGTTTGACTCCTTTCCTTGCTGAAACATCTACAAACCTCTAGTCTAGAAATCCCCCGTCCCAGCAATGTGTGGTGTGGCTCTTGGAATTCCCCGCTCTTTTTCAGGCTGGCTGTAAAAAAAAGAGGCGAGGGAAGCAGAAATTTTAAGAGGCCAGTCCTTTCTCATCACTGCATCTCCAGGCAAAGAAAAGTATCACCTGCTGAATCTATGTGTGTTTAAGATGCAGAAGCTTGGGGGAGTGGGATGCCGTGGGATTTTCCCCAATATAAAAAGCAACAATTGTGGGGCAGCATTGGGCACATAGAAGGCTGTGGGGGGTGGGAATTCAAACATTTCCGGCTCCCAGACAGGACAGACCTGAGATGTTTTGCTGTCAGGGGCAAAAGACAGGATGGTACCCCACTTCTTTCATGTACTGAAGCCAGATGGGCTGACAGTCAAATCCTACCTCGACACTTCTGATGCGACAGCAACTTCTACCCCACAGCAGGCTGAGCACAGCAGGTGAGGTGAAGGGGTTCCAGACAACTCCAGCAACGTGCTTCCATTTCCCGCCATGTCCCAGAAACATCTGCCACCTGTGGCAGCTGCCTTTTTCTAATGGTGCACACACACATCCGCACACAGCTTTCAGCCGAATAGGGAAGCCTCAAGCAGCCCCAACCCTGGTGATTTTCGACCCAAAGAAACCACCACCAGAAAAGGAAGTTCACACCTGCATTTTGTACAAGTCCATTGCAAGGAGATGCTGCGAGTCAAATATACAGCTGTGAAAAGCCCTTTAGTGAGACCTGGGACGTAATGTATGAACAATGGCATGGCAAGAATCAGAGAACAACAAAGCCCATTTGAAACTGATGCATCGTAGAATGAAACCAGCTCCTCAGAGGTTTCCATAAAAGATTGTGATGGTATAGTTTTACAAACATATATTCGTTCTTCCGGAGGTAGCATTTCCCTCAGGCTGTTGAGTGTGGAACACATAATTTATACATGTTTCTTGATTAAAAATAGGGTGCTTGCAAAGCTCCTAGCTACTTATCCACAAACTCATGCAGAAATTCCTTCGCTCATGAGTAACCAAAGGCTACAAAGCCGTATTAGATGCACCGTTCTTCTAAGTGGATGAGGGAAAGAGGAGATGGCAGCTACAGGAGCTGAAAGTGTGGGGCTCCTGTGTCCTATGCATGTGTGTGCACACTCACACGTGTGCACACTTGATAGAACAGCGGTTTCAGACCAATCGCCTCTGTGAGGCACTGAACGTCTGCCTGTCAAAATAGAAAATAGCATTTCCAGCTGATGCTGGAACTTAAACAAGCTGGACTTGTAACAAAATGTTCCAGTGTGGCATGCACCTGCTCAGTCTCCTGTGCTTTTCCCCAGGATACTCCAATCCATTCCCCTTCCAACCGTTTTCCCACAAAAAAAATCCAAGGATGTCAATCAGCATTCCATGGAAGAGCAGCTTAGTCCATACTGGGCAGGTTTTGGCATCTCCCCATTAGGCTCCCCTGCACCTAAATATTTTCTGTACTTTTGCAAATATTGGGTTTCTCTTGAGCGCACTGATACCTTCCTCTTATGTGTGGATGGTGATGCTTTGGCTAAATAATGACTGGTGTTCACCTCTGAACTTTGGAAATGGAGAGAATTAATAAAGTGATGCCCAAACCAAGGCAAGCCATGTAACATTCCTGAGGCTCATGTGTGTCACACTACTTTAAAACTTACACTGAATTTATACCTGGGTGCATCTAACTACAGATCTCTTGCATCAGCCAGGAGCAAATCAACAGTACCATATTTCCAATGAGGCAGGATATTAAAGTAATATAACTGAGCATCCTCAGGAACTGTGTGAAAGGTGACATCCAGTCACATACCCTGCAGAAATGTTACTGGTTAACAACATTAAACTTGTGCACATCTCTCAGGTTCAGCCTTTAAGATGTAAAAGTGAGGCTGGCACATTGCAGGGGTAAAGATGGATAGAACTTACCTTACATGAATATTTGTGGGTTTTTAGGAATGACAGCAAGAGTTTCTGAGAGGTGGAGTCATGTGGCTAGAAGGAAGCAGAAGCATTTCAGGAGGTTTGAGATGAGGAGAGAGAGAGAGAGAGAGAGAGAGAGAGAGAGAAACCACAGGAGATTGCCCTTCATCCTTAAACCTAAAAATCTTCTTGACTTTCCAGTTAACTATTAATTCCAATTATTCATTCATAGGATAGCTGAAGACAAGCCTAAAGGCCGCATGGGGTAAAGTAGTCTGTGCCAAAGTTCATGTTCCAGAACGTGTTTCTCATAGCTGTCCCTCACATTCATCTATCTGCAGGATGCCACCAAGACTTGGTCTGCATTTTACAGAGATGTGGGGAAATAAGAGATATCTGTGAAGAGTGGGACTCAAAAGTCTGACCCACAGAGTGTCCCAGATAGAGGTGTCTCGATATATTTTGCTGGCTAGGACAAAATGAAACAGGAACACCACCACCACCACCATTCCACCTATAGAAGCCAACCAGACTAACAGATGAATCTCACCTCAACACTGTTAATGGGCCAGTTCCTCCAACACACATCAGGGCAGCTTACAGGATGCAGGGCAGGCTATATGCCACACAGAGCTGTCCTCCAACACTCACCATCAATCCCTGCTTTCCAGCACCTGTCACCTGATGCAGCAGCCTCACTCTGCCTAATGGCAGGGATGGCTGTTAAATTTAATATAACTACAACAACTGCCCTGCAAGGTAGAAGTAGCACCCTTGAAATCCTCCTTCCTTTTCATTTTTTTTCAGTTTCAGTCTCAATGGGAGGGAAGCAAACAATGATAACATTTGTGAGGCAAAATCCATGGATGTTTCTGGGGTGGTGGGGAAAGTGAGGCCAGTATCGGGTCTCTGAAATCACTGGTCTCTCCACCCTCAGAAAGTGATATCATATGCTTCCTACACCTGAGAACCCACTCAGATCAAAGAATTCCAGGGTTAGCCTACTGGGCAAACAGAAATACCACCTGGCTGAACCAGAGAAGATGGTCAAACTGCAACAGTGCAAAGAAAATAAATCTGATTGTGTAAAAGAGGCAACTGTTAAAGCACAATTTATAAACAGGGTAATAAACACAACATACAATTGTTAGCTTGCAATTAACTTATCTATTGTCATACATTCCACAAAAACTATCAATTCCACAAAAATATTCTGGATAAAAATATACTTTTAAGTGCTACATTTATAGTTTTCTAGAAGGTAGCATTCAATGTACATTTATTGACAAATAACATAGTTTTTGAAAGTGCACAGAGTCAACTACATTGCATGCAGATTTGCAACATCAAAAAAAATCCATTAATCTTTGCATACCACTTATTTTATTAAATAATCCACGGTGCTTCATAAAAAATAAGATCTGTTTGCACTCTCCATCCATCCATCCATCTAACACATATCTATAGGGTGCACTTCACAGAAAAGTGCAAATTCATAATTTACAAATAAATATTGGGGGAAACGTGCTATTTGCAACAGGCAGGGAACTGGGTCACATTAATATAGGCAATAAGTGGCAAGGCAGAGATGTCTTTCTTTTCTGTTCAAAAGCCGTTTTGACTAGTTGAAAGCAGCACACATATTTTTGCCTGCTAAGGCACCATATGAAATTGTGGTTTCCGAACTTTTTATTATCATCATCATCATCATCAAAGGCTGATTCGTACAAACTTTGTTGAAATGAACTCAAGCTCCTTTAGAGAGAAAGAATTTCTGCATGGCGGCCAGGTATTTTGAATTGATGTCGACTGCCAGCTCACCTCAGCCCAGTGTGCTGAATGCTTTCTGGCACACTGAGAGCCACAATCTGGGCTTATTCCACTGAAGCATTCAGAAAAACAGCTGACCCAAGCCCAAACTCCTGGCATCTTGATGCATAAAATCTCTTATTTTTCATGTATCTAATCAACATGAAAATGTTTACATGTTATCAGCCATTGCTATACTGTATTTACTCGAGTCTAATGCGCCATCAAATCTAATGCGCACCTCAATTTTCAGAACCTTGAAACCCTAAAAAGTATTCTCTGGCGAATGTAAATGTGCCATCGAATCTAATGCACTCATTAATTTCCACAACATAATTTGGCCAAAAAAGGTGAGCATTAGATTTGAGTAAATACATTATTTTATTTCAAAGAGCTCTGCTTAAGTACCTAAATCCTCTGTACAATGGAAATCTGCACAGGTATTAGTCTCACTGCAAGTTCCTTGCAATCTCAAAAAGTTACGTACACATATATGGCAGTTTGAGCTAGATACAATCTTGTCACATTATCTTATATTTGCTTATATGTTGGTTAATAATCACATCACTCAAAATGTTTTTTTTTTCTCAGCCTGCAATCACAAGACGCCTTCTCAAGATGAGAAGGCTGTCCATCTTTTTCGTCATGGGTCTAGAAGTAACTTTGCAAACCACTGCCTCTCTGTGTGTTCATTGAGATTGTGAGGACATGCACAAATTAGTTCCTTCTTATGGTGATGAGAAAATGCCAAGTGGTTGCTAGGCTAACTCAGCAGCGATTGGAACATGCATCTTTCACTGTCTAGCAATCACATCTTCCCTTACCGCGTTTTCCTTTCCTGGAACAGTTATCAGGCTGTGCTTGTGAGTGTCAGAGGTTTAAAGGTAAAGGTAAAGGTACCCCTGCCCATACGGGCCAGTCTTGACAGACTCTAGGGTTGTGCGCCCATCTCACTTAAGAGGCCGAGGGCCAGCACTGTCCGCAGACACTTCCGGGTCACGTGGCCAGCGTGACAAGCTGCATCTGGCGAGCCAGCGCAGCACACGGAAATGCCGTTTACCTTCCCGCTAGTAAGCGGTCCCTATTTATCTACTTGCACCCGGGGGTGCTTTCGAACTGCGAGATTGGCAGGCGCTGGGACCGAGCAGCGGGAGCACACCCCGCCGCGGGGATTCGAACCGCCGACCTTTCGATCGGCAAGTCCTAGGCACTGAGGCTTTTACCCACAGCGCCACCCGCGTCCCATGAGAGGTTTAGGGTGTATCTAAATGTACAGTTTCCACCCAGGCCCACATTCCGAGCCCTAGAATGTTAAACTGTAGGGACACAGCAACTATTCGTGTTACCGATCAATCAGCACTTCATTGCACAGTGAAAAACACTGCCTCGCAATGTGCCAAATAGAAAACTGTAGCGGTGATCTGCAGAGTAAAATTCAAGCATGCAGTGCTGAATCCCATATGCAGAGTCTGAGAACTTCAACTTGTAATGTAATGAAAATGTTGGGTTATATCCAACACTGCTGTTCCACTTGCACAAAGGGTCTTTGCCTCCTCTTATCCCCTGCAGCTCCCCATTCATCTTCACAGTCTGCTTCAGAAAACTGGAGGATCCTTTGGGGGGCACAGAGGGGGAGGAAAGGGAAATCCCACTGCATCAGTCAAACGCCTTTTGCACAGCACTGGAAACAACCTTTTGCCTCAAACCTTGTACTTTTGAATAAAATTTGGCTGAAGGCATGCCCTCTCATGCATGCTGAGAGATCACGGACAGACAGAATATGAACACTTCCAGCAAAATAATAGGCATCTTTACTTGCAAGTAAACCCCACTGTGTTCAGCGGGCTTTGTCCCTAGTAAATGCATTTATGGGACAGCTGCCTTAAATTGGGTTAGAACATGCTAGGTGAAAATAAGTCTAAGTGCGTAAAAAGGTACTGGGAGATACAGTAGAAGCATTTCCTTGGAAAATATAAAAGACAGCAGTTATTTGGATCTGTTTCTAGGGGAAAAAATAAGTTTCTTCGTGCCATGAGATTTATGGCTGCTATTTCATTTTTCTTACTTTAATATAGCTGCCCAATTCAAGGGCAAAAATGGTCAGGATATGACTCCCATTTGTTGCTTGAAAATACAAAAACAATTCTCAGTTACTGACCTTTTCTTTTTGTCTAAAACTTATGACCTTTTAAATCCTCCTGGCTGTCACTTACCTTTATTGTGTGAAGCCACCCCCAACTACCAGAAACCATTTGCATTGCTTTCCTACAAGAACACAATCCCTTCAGGTCAAGTAAAGTAAAACACAGACTGGCCACAGTCCCTCAGTGTGACAATAATGCTAGCAAATCAAAGGACAGGCAGTATTATGGCATCAGCTGCTGCCTTTTATACATATAAATCAACATCAAAGCACCAAAATATCAAAATTGCATCTCACTTTAGCAATTCCGCTTTGGCTACGAAGCTCTCCTCTTTCTAGAAAAAAATGCATTTACTTGTTTTCACTCTTGCTCTTGTCTCATCTCCTTAAATTAATTTGGAATGGTATAGCCATACATCAACATGAAGCTATAAACAGATTCCAGATACAAGTCCCATTTTCCTGCCATCAGAATCCATCTTTAAAAACTAGCTCCATGTTTAAAGGTGGGGGCATTATTCAGATGAAGAGTGAAACTGCTCAAAGCCAGTCGCTGAATCTATCCTTGGTATGATCAGAGCCTAAGAGCCTTAGACTGGACAAAAAATTAATTTCATTCTAAGGCCTTAGCAGTCAAATGTTTACGATCCACCACGTTGGTTTGGACATAATGCTAAACCATTGTTTTAACCAGCAGCTGTTAAGCTAAACCACAGTTTAGGGTTTCAAAATGGAATCTGCCATTCTTCTCATTGCTGGAGGAAAGGTGGGAAGGTGGGGGGGGGAGGTAGGTACATTATCATAAATAGCAAAACATGGTTTAGTGTTACATGCAAACCCTACTCACATCTACCCAAAAATACAACGTATGTCTAAGTGAATCAAATGATCATTCCATCTGACTAATTTTAGTCCTTCAGCTAAAAGAAACAGGGATTCTCTAGGATGGAATCAGAAATTCACCATCAGAGAAGAAAAGCTAAATTTCAAAATATCAGGTATGATTAAACTCAAGTTAGAACATCCCCTATCCTCAATGAAAAATACATTCAGTCTGCTCAATGAGGCCTGCATTGAGCTCACTATGCATGAAGCATTATTCTCACTATGACTCTCCCTCAGTGGATCAGGGGATGGGTGCTACACCACCAGCAAATTGGGGGGGGGAGCGGGGGGAGCCTGCTAACCTAAAGTGCTAATACAGAAAGGAGTCACACAAGCTTCGTGGGCACAATCCATTTTCACATTTAGTGCTCCACAACACTGGGCAGCATGAATGATTTCATGGTGCAAAAATAATCACAGTCGGGTGTATAATTATTTCTGAGCTCTCCCAGGAAATGCATATGAAGGACAATGAGCTGCAGGAAAGCCGTATTCATGCCTTCTATTGACCTTCTTGGAGTAGTAAGTGATCAGAAATACAGTAACAATGAACGAAAACAAAATGAAAGAAATGAAAGCAAGCAAGGATCTTCTGGGTTGTAACGAGTCACATTCTGGGCACAGAATAAGCTCTTTGAGGCAGAGCAAGCCAGCGGTTTCCGAGCCAGGAAAGGTGAAATTGTCAATAATCTGTCTATAATGCATCATGGAAGACTTTGGTTCATATTGATTCACTGTATATCGATAGAGTCCATACGATCTAGGATCACCCCTATCACTGAGAGAATAGGCAAAATAGCCACGGAGGTTAACATTATCCAAGGTGTAGGCTGCAAAACAGAGCACACATACAAACAGAATGCACACACACAGAGGGGACAAAGAAAAACAAATTAGTGCCATGTTTGTTTTACCGCTAGACCACCATACCAGTATATGTTATATAAACTCTAGGTTGGTATTCATTCCCTTCAACAAATAAAGCATCTCGATCTTTAAAAATGACAGTCCAATTCTACTTAAAAGTATCTGGGTAGTTCCAGAGCCCACTAGTCAGTCTCTCTCTCTCTCTCTCTCTCTCTCTCTCTCTCTCTCTCTCTCTGTCCCTCTCTCTCTCTCTCTCTCTCTTCTTTCTCTCTCTCTCTCTCTCTCTCTCACACACACACATCTACACTCAGAAAAACCCATTCATTTGCATACACAGACACTGATTTGCAAACCCTATCCACTGCATCTTCCACCTCTTTCCCTGAAAAAAGCTTTCTTTTCCCCCCGCCCCCATTTTCTCTCTTTTTTCTCATTCCCCCTTCTCCCTCCCTCCTTCTCTCTCTCCCACCTTTACTTCCCAGCTGCCATTCCCTCCTTTACAATTAAGTTTGCCTGCTTGGCAATTAAGTTTTAGAGAAAAGGGTGCCATTTGTGCAAATGAAACACACAAGTAAACTTAATAGCCACAAAAAAACAGAAGGAAGACCCCAAGACACTGTGTGCCAGACCTGGTCTGAATGCCAGTGGTTCTCCACCCCTGGTCTATGGCTATAGCCGTCACAACATACATTTAAAGCACTCTCATACAACTTTGAGAGTCATGGCTTTCCCCAAACAATCCTAAAAGCCGTAGTTTTTTAGGGGTGCTCAGAGCTGAAAGGAGCCCCATCACAGAGCTACAATTCCCAGCCCCAATTATTGGGGGGGGGAGGCCATGGCAGTTAAAGGGGCACGTGAGTGCTTTAAATGTATGCTATTGATGTGACTGTAGTGTATAATTTTAGGGGCCATTGTCCTGTTGAGCCCAGTACTGTCTATTATGTCAGGGAGCAGATCTCCAGCACTTAAGAGTCTTTTAACTGATACTTTCTGCATCCAAAAGCTATTGGCAAGCTACGACATGTGCTATGACACTGAACGATGGCCTTAACTGCATGTAACCTTGCCCTCCACTGACACTGCGATACCGTCTGCGATGGTGGTATTAGTTTGTTTATTTATAAGAACATATGGATCCTGGGGTTTTTTGGCTGTAAAACTGAACCCCATAGCAGCTTACAACAAAATAAAACAAACATTCGTGAAATTAAAAATCCACTACAAACAGATGAAACGCCAACAAAAACACAGCACAAATATTTCATTACCATCTAGTTAATGCAATAATAATTCGCATACCTTCACCTCTATCTCATCACAAGGAACAGGCCCTGCACAGTGGCTCTCGCTTCTTACCCTTCATTATTTTGTTATTAAGCTAGCTTAATTTCACAGGGGGTAGGGGGAGGAAAGCCTTCAGTGGCTATTCATGGCAACGAAATGCAACTATCCTTTTCTCAGCAACAGCAGACAGAAGGGCACCGAGTTCCAAACACTGCCTTGGGACACACACAATGTACTATGCATGTGCTCTGGGTATCAACATGTATTAATTAGTCCATCCGTTATAAGAGGCAACAGCCTCATCCAGTTGCTGAAAACTGGATTTTCAGTTATCTTCAAAGCATAGTTCCTGCTCCCAGACTTTGGAATTCTCTCCCTAGGGAAGTTAGACTGACTTGTTGTCCTTGTTGTCCTTCAGCTGGCAGGTGAAGACCTCCTTATTCCAACAGGCTTTTTGGAACTGACTGCTTTTAATGAAAGGTATTTCTACTGTAATTCTCTGTATGTTTTTATTACACACACAGTTTTAATTCTGTTAAAGTTTATTACAAATATTTCACCCCCTATATTTTAGCTTCTCTTATTTTCCCTGTCGGGGATTACACATAATAGTTGCCAGTGCTTTTTTTCTTTTTTAAAAAAAGTATGTTTAGGGGTACTCTCATTTTGACTCAAGAAAATCACCGTTTTATAGTTCAAATCGGGGAAAATAAACACAGTAAATGGACAAAAGTACAAAGATTCACAAAATGTTTAGGGGTATGCGTACCCCTGTGTGTGTCCCCCCCCTCAGAAAAAAGCACGGATTGTTGCTATTACATATCACACACAGCATTCCAGAAAACACACCAAGAAACGTTGGTCTTGAGGAACATAAGCATTTCCACAGGACTCTTACCTTTCAAGGCTTCGTTGATATACCGCTCCATGTAATATATTCTCAGTTTGTCTCGATCCGGTTTCTGCCCGTCATCAATTCCACTGGCTAGGATGTAGATTGGGATGTCGCCATATTTATCCTTCACCCATGCGAGGAGCTTGCGTAACCCCCAGGGCACCACTGGAGTTCTGGCAGGTGACTTCACCCAAGTGATGTCATTTTGCTTTTGGACCTCGAGGAGGTGGTCGTAATTGGCGGGGTCTTCGTTTATGGCGCTTACGAGAGACGTGGTGTAGTGGCTCAAGGCGAAAAAGTCGAACGAACCACGTATGAGGTTTCTTTCCGCCTCCGAGAAATAAGGCAAGTGTAAATAATGGGAGCCTAGGCTGTTTTTCTGGTGAAGCCACTGCCTCATCACATCTGGGTAGTCACCACTTCCAAAGATAGGCTCAGCAAGCCAGCCAATCTTAAACTCCAAAACTCGTCTGGCTGCACTGTAATCGTTTTTCGAAAAGGGCTCGACCCAGATGGCATGGAAGGCGATTGAGATTTTACCTTTCTGAGTCTTCCTGAATGTTTTGTCGTACAGGCGCCATGCCTTGGCGTGGGCCTTCAGCAGGTTATGGGCTCCTTTGTATGTCAAGTTTTCATCGCTAGGCTCATTCATTGTGATCCAAAATTTGACATACTGGCCAAGTTTTTTAAAGCAGAACCTGGCATACTCAACAAAAGCGTCCACGATCTGCCGGTTCTCCCATCCTCCATGCTCAGCGAGAGGGAGAGGAAGCCCTTGGTACTCCCCCACGGGTTGCCACAAAGCAACGACAGGAGTTATATTGACTCTGAGTAGTTCGCTGACAAAACACTGATAGTAAAACAGGAGAGTGTGGTTAACATGAGATTCATTACCTAGAGGGAGAATCAAAGGCCACACCAGCGAAAAATGGAAGTGTGTGACATGCATTTCCTGAAGTAAAGAAATCTGGAGCCTGATGGCCGGAAGATCAACACAGTGAGGCTTGCGATTTGGGGCACCCCTTCCATCAACTTTAATCAGCTGCTTTGTATGATGGACATCCCAAACATAAACATTAGGGTCAAGGAACTGGGACCGTGTGGTATCTACCTGGAAAGAGAGGGAGAAGCAGATTCAATTCGTCCAAAGTGTGTAAACTCACAAGCAAACAAGTTAAGTAACTAATAATAATAATAATAATAATAATAATTAGGCTGATGGGACCTGAGAGTCAACATCTGGAGATCACCATGTTAGCTATCTCTGCTTTATGGAGTATCTAAAGTTTGCATCAACAAATGATTTAGATATGCAATAAATCTTTCAGGAACCAATCAGTTTTAAAAACAGAGGGAGCTCAGAATCCTTTTAAGGTGACGTCCAAACGATTTATGAGAAATGTGTCTGCCGTGCACTGAAGTACACCGAAATAAATCACAGCAAAGATGCGGCTTAGAAATAAGTGACATGCTAATTTTAACCAACTTAATATTTAATGACATTGTTCTAATTTACTATGCTAATGTCATAGAAGACTGTTCAATAGCTCAAAGCACAAATATCGAGCCGTCAAAATTGATTGACACACAGTATGAAGAACAATGAATTCCCCCCCCTCCCTTCACTGGAGCCCGATATGTGCTGGGAAAGCCCACAGAAGTCCTGTGTGTATGGCCTACTTCTAAGGAAGGAATAAGAGTTAACAAGGCTGCAACATGTTTTCATTTGATTGTGCTACCATACCACCTCTGCCTGATCTGTTCCTGAAAAGAACAAATCTGGGGGGGGGTTGCTTTAAATCAGGGGGGCACAACAGAATGGGGAAGATGTGTACACACAGACACCCACACACTGAGAGTTCTGCCCAGAATATAGCACCCAAACATGCCCAAACTGTGATGTTTGTCAGAGGGAAGGCCCTACGGCCCCAATTAGAACGCATGTCTAGGAACGAAACAAAGACAATATTATTATTTCACCTGTGCTACAGGAAAATCGGAGGAAGTGATTTGCTCTCTCATTTGACTTACCTGAAGAAAGCTTTCAGTAACCCCCCAAGCAAAACCACAGGGGAAAGTCCCTTCTATGGGCTGGTCTTCTGGTACTGGGAGGAAGCCATTGTTCTCTATCACCTTCTGGTAAAACATTCCTGAAGACTTTAGCATCAGTTTCTTATCCTGACTCTGAAAGTCAACGTAAAACAGACCCCTTCGAACGCTGTAGCCCCTGAGCCATTCAAAGCCGTCCATGAGAGACCAAGCCGTGTACCCGATGACAGTAACTCCATCATACCTGACAGCTGAGGAGAAAACAACAAAAATAAGATCACCTCACTTCCCCATCTGCACACATTTGAACAACTGCACTTGAACAGATTTGTTTGTGGTTCAGAAAAATGCTACCGCTTACATATCCTGCTCAGTGGTTATCAAGCTACGGTGTTAATATTGCCATGCAGATATGGCCTAAATAGCGTAAGGATCCCTCCACTATGTCCCAGTGGGCACCTAAATTGGTCCCATGGCATTCTTTTTTTCTGACGGAAAATGCAAAACCTGGAAGCTTTTGAATACAGTACTTTTAAACAAGCAGATACCTCCATAAAAGGATGTAATTTCACTTACTCGTTGTGACTTCTTCTACAAAACTGGTGTAACAAAACGGTTAATTGTTTTATATAATTTAGTTGGTTCCCACATCTCAGAAGCCCAACTGGCCTCTATCAAGTTCCATGCTGCACAACACTTCCAGCAGAGATTGGGGAGGTATCCTTGCTTTTGATGTTCAGGTGTCTCTTAAATACTTATTCATACAGTTGTTTGAAATTTTCTCAAGTCCCCAGTCATTTTAACGGTGGTTCTGTACTGCTGCACACTGCCCTGATGTTTTATGAGAGGGTGGTATATAAAAGCGTGGTTGTATTTTTTGAAATTGCATTACTTATTTGTTTAGGAAACTTGAACCCTGTCCTTCCAGTGCATTTGCATCACCTAAGGGTGGCTTACAGTTAAAAACAAAACAATCCCACTAAAGAAATAAAACGACAGCACAAAAACCGAAACAACAGATAGGGTTCTACCCAATCTATCAATAATGTCTGACAAGGCAAATGCTTCAAGAACAGGAAAGTTTAACCAGTCAGTGTGAACAGTAAGAAAGTGGATATCAGAATATAAGGCAGTGCTTTTTTTTCTAGGGGGGACGTAGGGGTACACATACCCCTAAACATTTTGGTAATCTAATGGGAGAAGAAACTTAAAAAAATTAAAAATTTAGTTCCATTGAATAGCACGGTGAATCGTCAGTTCCGTTGCTACCCTCAATGGCAGCCTCATTTCCTTTCCCAGTGTTTCCTGAGTCTCAGACGGAAGCAAGTGTTTAATGTGTCAGCTGTGTAATATGAGGTAATGCATGTTCTTTCTACTTTTGTCCATTTGCTGTATTTATTTTTCCCAATTTGAACTGTAAAATTGTGATTTTCTTGAGTCAAAATGAGAGTACCCCTTAACATTTTTTTAAAGAAAAAAAAGCACTGGTATTCAGAGGTAATATAGAATATTGGTGCAGCCCCCAAGAAGGCTCTTCTCTCATCCTGCACAGCCATGCCTCAGCCACAAACAGGACATGGAAATTGTCATCTCCCAGGCATCTTAGAGAACAGGCAGCATGGTATGAGAGGAGAAAGTCTCTCAGGTGACCTAGAGCCAATATATTTAGGGTTTTCAAGGTAAGCAGAAAAGCAATACAGAACTTTTACTTAATGATTTACATGCTTAATTAAAATACTACTCTACTTCAAAATAATGACTGTCCCAAAGTAACTAGCAAGTGTTGCAAACAATAAAGACAACACTCTGTAGTGAATGTAAAATTGAGCTGATAAAAGTTTTGCCACTTATTTTACATCTTTCATCAAAGTTGTTTTAAAATAAAAACCAACACAGGCATAAAGCAAACCCAGTTTTCCATGGGGGCCAGAATGTGCAGCTTGGTTGCTATTGGTTGCTAAAAAGAGAAGTTGTATCTACCATCTGATGCATTTACCAACACTCAAGCCCCTTTCCATATTCGTATAAATAAGGACATATGTAACTGAGACACAGCTTTGTAAATCAGCTGTGAAAGCAGAATAAGTACTCCCAACAGTTATTTTCATTTCTTCATTACAGGAAGAATGAATTCTTGCAGCCTGAGAAGAGACTCTTAAGGTCATTGCCAGAGAGTTACAGAAATTATATATGCACGCACACCACACACACACACACACACACACCCAGAGAAAGAGAAAGAGAGAGAGAGATTTGGTATATATTCTTATCTAGCAAATATTTACTCAGCTATCTGACGCATTAAAACTAATCATTGGGTATCTCCTGCCTGATTCTCCTGCAAGCCTCATAGCCAAGAGTACAAACATCATGAAGTTATATTAAGCAACCAGCTTAACTTTTTGCTGTAACCAAAGAAACATTATCCAAACTTGTTGGAAAGCACTTGGCAACCGCAGAGGCAAGCAAATCCCGTTCTTTTGGAACCTCACTCTGTAATGAACACCTGGATAAATGTTTAAAGACTCACTGGGTTTTAGCCTCTGCAGAACTTATTTAATGAATGTGAGGATAATGTTTCCCTTAACTTGTGCCAGGATAATAATGGTGACAAGAATACCATCTACAAGCCTACCTTTCAGAGTGTCCATAATGAAATTTTTAAGATAATTCGTGTACTTGGAGTCATCGGTCTTAGTGTTACCAGAAACGTACCAGCTGTTCTCCACAACGAAGATCTCTGGTTTGTTATATTCACTGCTTATCCAGTAAAGCAGAGGCCTTAGGCTTAGCGATTCCAGCTGGCGGAATAACATGCCAGTATCCACGAGATGGAAACTCAACGTGGCCCCAAACGAAAGAGCAAAGAAATCGGCTGTCCCTCTGACAAACTTCTTCTCTGCTTCGGTGAACTCAGGCAGCACAGAGGAAAGATTACTCTTCATGCTCTGGGGATAGTCTCCATCAATAAATATAGGTTTAGCAAACCAGCCCAGCACAAAGTCAAGAGATTTCTGGCATTCGTGAATACTGTTTTCAGTCATATGTAGAGGTCTTATCCAGTGAGAGCCTAAGGCAATTGACACTTTACCTCTTTGTGCAGGACGAAAATGATCGTTGTAAAGATGCCACACTTTGGCATGAGCCTATGGGAAAGAAAGTCCCCAGTGAACCATTTTTATTTTACTCATTTTTGCTGTTTTATGAAATTATGTATTCAATCTTAACAGATATCTGTGTTACCAACTAGATGGTAATAAGTCTCTTGGTGGCTTTAGGGCCTCCATTCAATCAAAACATAGTGCAACGTTTATAAGAGAGCAAAGTAAAATCAGCTGGCTTCCTTCAACTTAAAATTAAGGAAAATTAGCCTCACAGCTAGCAATACCACTCTGCTCTTTGGGACAGAACTGTTCGCTCTCATTCTAATATCTCAGAAGAAGGGGAACATAATGCTAAACCAGAGCTTAAATTAAGCTGTGATTTAAAGAGAATGTGCAACATACTGGTGTATGCTACCCAAAAGTCCCTGCAGTGCTCTTTCCTTTCCCACGCAGAGGCTGGCACATGTGAACCAGCGCTTCTGGCTTGTTTCTCTCATAACAAACGATAACAGTAAGTCAAGACAAACTTTGCCACTTTCCTCTGGACATGTTCCAATTTGTCAACATATTTCCTAAACTGCAGTGCCTAGAACTGGACGAAGTACTTCTGGTGCAAATAGGTCCACAAAAATTAGTGGTTCAAACAATTTTACTAGTCCAATGCCCATAATTTGCTTGCATTGCTCATTTTGTGGCCAAAATGAAAGGGAGCAAGGAACCAACTTTTGTATACCATCCTCATTTGGTCCCCCATGAGCAATTCTTTAAACAGTCAGTCAAAAAGGCAAGTGGGTATTTATAATCCTGACTCAGAAGGATGAATTGACTAGCATGAACACATTCAGACTCACAACCTGCTGGTAGCAATGTGCTTTTCAGAATCTGTCTCTCACCAGCCTGAAAAGCCATGGCTCCCTTCCTTCAGAGAGTCTACCTCCTCATCATTATCACCAATTTCCCCTGCACTACTCCTACTTAATGTTACCCCTTGCTTGCTTGCAAGGGAGACGGCTAATGTGCAAACAGGAAGTGACATCTACTGCTCAACTACCACCTTTTTCTGGGCCAGAATAAGAAGAGGTGGTTGAACAACCAGGTTGCAATGGCGAGGAGGAGAAGCAGGTCCAGGAGACTTTCCCCAGTTGCTCCCGCACTGAGTTGTGGTCCCTCAGCAGATGCTTGACTATGCTGACCCTTAAGACCAGCTCTGGAACAATCCCAACAGCCCCATATATGTGGTCAAGAAATATGTTCTATCTTTCCTTTACTTGCCCCTAGGTTTTAGAGCGTGGCACTGTGGGTTAAACCACAGAGCCTAGGACTTGCCGATCAGAAGGTCCGTGACGGGGTGAGCTCTGGTTGCTTGGTCCCTGCTCCTGCCAACCTTGCAGTTCGAAAGCACGTCAAAGTACAAGTAGATAAATAGGTACCGCTTCGGTGGGAAGGTAAACGGCGTTTCCGTGTGCTGCTCTGTTTCAACAGAAGCTTAGTCATGCTGGCCACATGACCCAGAAGCTGTACGCCGGCTCCCTCGGCCAATAAAGCGAGATGAGCGCCGCAACCCCAGAGTCGGTCACGACTGGACCTAATGGTCAGGGGTCCCTTTTACCTTTACCTTTTTATGTGAACCTATATTTTCACATAATGGATCATGTAGCACACTTGGAACCATTTCACCAGTTGCAGAGGAGAAAACCGTGCATGAGAAAACATGTCTTCACAAAGCTCAGTTCGTGAGAACTGAGTGGGCAGGTGAAATAAATATCACTTAGTGATGCAAGTCCCACAGACAATGACAACTAAATTTCATGAGGGATCATTAAGTGCATCCTCAATTTCTTGCAAACAGCAATACTTAAATGCTTTGCTATGCCTATATCTGAAAGGGGGTGGAATCTCAGATAAACCTTGGCACCACTATGTGGAAAGCATAGAATGCAGCACAGAAGAGGGGATCAGTTTTTGAGTTGGATTCAAACTATTTAGAGGGCTCCTTCAACAAGAGTTATTATAGTTAATGTGAAGACTTCAGAATTATCTCTAACATAAAGGACATGGCAGGCCCCATCTTATTTGCAGCAGCAACCCCCAGCAATTGCAGTGAGGGCATGGAACAAAATTAAAGGGTTTAGGTCAGACACACAGGACTTGAAGATTTATCTATATGCAGGTGATGCTACGTTTTCACTAATACAGCCAAAGGAATCAGTGTCCTAACTAAATTAGTTTAATTTCTGTCTTTTAAAAAAATATTTAAAATCAGATTAGTTCCAATTTTAATCTTAGGGAAGATACTGGTAATCAGCACTAAGCATTTCTGTTAGATATTTGGGGATATATCTACAAACCAATCTTTCATCAGCAGTTCAAGAAAATCATGAAAAACTGCTAAAGGAAGTGGCAAAAGATCTGAAAAACATGCCTTTCCATTATTTTCTTCCCAGATTATTATTTTTTTTAAATTTGAATTTACCTTTAAAACATGACATTTCAATATTTTTAAAAGGCAACAGATTATCTTGTCTGTGGTAGACTCTCTCTCCACTTGGCATATTTCCCAAACTAACAAGTTTCACAGAGGAGGGACAGCAGCAGCTGAAATAACACGTGGGATTCATGGGCTCTTCCTGCAATTCCAGGGTTTTGCAAGGAAGGCTTTTGGACATGCATTGTTTACAGCAAGGATGGTTAACCTGTGGCCATTCAGGTGCTGTTTGACTCTATGGGCCATCAGCTCCAGCAAGCATCACCACTTGTCAGGGATGAGAAAGACAGCCCAACATCTGAAGAGCTACAGGTTCCTTTATTATGGAAATTCTGGGAATCTTATTATTACTGAGTTGGGAAGAATTTTTTAAGCTATACTTCCAGAATCAGTAATTCAGGCTCCAAGCCCTTACTGCAGAGTGAAGTATCTTTGAAACAGCTCTCAACTTTATTCCGAAAACTGTGGTAGATGCTGCTGTTTTTCCTTGGAATCATAGGAAGCAGCATTCTAGAAAGTTAGACCTCTGACTTATCTAGCCACAACTTTCCAGAGATCTTTCCCAGCCCTTTCTGGAGATGTGTGGTATTATACCTGGGACTTTTTGTATGCATATATGGACTACAGTACTAAGCTTGCAAATTTTGGGGAAGCAATGGGGGAGGAAAACTAAAAGGCCTGGCACAGAGGGATTACAGTCTGAGGTGCAATTCAGATGCAGTGGACTTGGCTTATAATAGACCAAAGATTTCCAACATAGTTTTCCTCTTAAAATATATACATCCAAAATTCTTCTCTGTGCCTAACCCTAAGCAACAGGCACCTCTCAATTTTGCTTAACAGAGCAGCATGTGCCACAACAACATTATTACATCGCTTCCCATCTACCACAAAGCTTATGATCTAGTGCTCAAAGCTGTCACACTGTGCCAATTTTGGTAGACATGCTGATTGAAATTACTGACATCTGACTTGGATGCTGCAAGCGCAGCTTTTAATACGGCATGTATCACGAGCAACTCAGGGCCACAGGAGCTTAGATCACTGCCAGGCCAACCTCTGATGCCAGCAGGGATGTTGATTGGGAAAGTGCTCTTGGCCCTCATCCCAGTCCACATACAAGAACTTGTTCATCTTAAATCGTATCAAGAAACACTGCAGGTCTTTAAAACTAAGGCATTGTAATCCTATAGACACGAACCTGAGTAAGTCCTATTGAACTTCTGAGTAGACACGGAGAGGACTGTGCTGTAAGGGTGCAATCAAATGCGCACTTTCCTGTGACTAAGCAGTAGAGATGGAGAAGGGTGGGATAGATGGCTGCAATCCAGTACATATTTGTTTAAGAGAAAGTCCCACCAAATTCAAAAATGCTTAGCTAAGTGATGGATCTCTTGAGTGTGAAATTTACATTTGGACTACTGGATTGCTTTTTGTGCATCCGGTAATAACAACTACATTATTTTCAATGTTCATGTCTCTGTTAAGATGATGTATATTCTGTGACTGTGGCCATATTTTACTGCACTTGGCTTGGTATTTGTAACACATTCATTTGTCACTATTATATCTTCCTTTTGTGAATTGGTCATGGTTAATATTATAATCAATTCATGTGGGTTCTCCTGCTTGTTCATTTTCAAATAGAATAAATGCTACTGGTAATGTATTGTACAGCTGCTTTCAGATATGTGTCTTTGTCTTTTCATCTCACCTTGCAATATTGGATGAAATGCAATTTTATCCATGTTTATATTTATCAACTATGCCTTTGATAAACCGCTCTGTCACCTACAGAATCTCATTACACAATAAATTAGGCTGCAGTCCTAAATACACTTACTAAGAAGCAAGTCTCATCCAGCATAGAACTTACATCTGAATAAATATGCATCACATTGTACTGCACTTCTTTAGGATACTGCAAAGACCTGCAACTGACTGACATTACTATTCTTCTGCAAGCCCACACATTTATTTTTGCTCTTGCTGCTTTAGTGGGGAGAATTTGCTCTTCCTCACCTTTCACCTTCACAGGCAATTCTAAGCATTTAAATGTGGTAACTAATCATAGAGCCAGTGCGGACAGGGGAATGTTTATAACTAGAACTGGGAAGCCCAGAGTTCAAATATTCACTCAGCCATGAAGCTCACTGTGCAACAATGGGCCAGTCTTCCTCTCTTAGCCTAACCTACCTCACAGGGTTGTTGTGATAGTAAAATAGGGGGAATGGCTCGGATATACCACACTAAGCTCCTTGGGGGAAGAGAGATTAATGTAACTGACAATAATAAAAACATTCTAGTTCAACCTCTGACACCAATAATACACCCTAGCAAGTTTGGCTCTGTAATAAACTGGGATTGTTCCAATTATGATTTGCCACAAGTAGTGAGTGATTCAGGAGTTAGCAAGGTGTGTTTGGCCAGAGGTGCCTGAAGGGCAGTGGGTAAGTCTAGTTAAATAGGTCCTGATAAGACAAGCAAACAAGCTGTCCTGCACATGCTGGAGAAGTTGAGGTGTTTGTTCTATAGGAAAAAATCCCAGCATCCTGAAATGTTAAAAATCCCATTGTTTTCTATAGAGCTTTAATATTTGGGAAGGTTATAGTCTCATAGAACAGCAGGCTTGGAACAGGCTTGAAGGTCATCTTCAAGAGCCAGATGTACTTCCTTGACCATTTTCCTCCTTTGTGTTTTTCCAATATTTGGGTGACTGGAAGGCAGTGGGGTATATCCTACCTTTTATGTTTCCATAGGTGCATGCCATACCCTGTTGATAAGTTGAGCGTTGCTCACTCTTGTCTGCTGCTTGCAGCAAATCTTAGGCTGCACTCCTTTGCGCACACTGACTCATGGAATACACTGGAACTTGCTTCTGAGTAAACAGGCCTAGGATTGCACTGCCCTTGCTCTAAATCAGCCTTCCCTAACCTTATAACCCACAGGTGTTCGGCAGCACATATACTAAAAATAACCCACAGGTGTTTTGGCCTACAATTCCCATGCTGGTTGGAGAGTTGTAGCCCAAAACATCTGGAGGGTACCAGGTTTGGGAAGGCTGTTTTAAATTCTACACCAGGGATGAGGCAACTGGAGCTCAACCTGTTAGACGCTGTAGCCCAGCAACATTGAACTGGAAGGGCCACGGGTTCCCTACCCCTGTTCTTAAGAGGAGCCAGCAGCAGTCATTCATTTGCCTCGGAAAAGATCACAAGTGGAGATGACTGAAGAAAGGCCCCACTCTCCCTTGGCAACTTTCCTCGGGTTATGTGCCTTCACTGGAGGTTTTAAAGCAAAAGTGGGATGGCCATGGATGCTTTAGTTGAGATTGCTGCGTTGCAGGGGGCTGGCCTTAGATGACCTTTGCGGGGGGGGGGTCCCTTCCAACTCTATATGATTCTCTGACGTCCCTCTCCCCGGTGGCCAAAACTCATGGCGAACTTCGGCTGAGCCATGTTCTCCTTGGGCGTCCTTACCTGGAGGAGGTGGTGAGCCACCCGGTAGCCCACCTCCCGCCCTCCCCGCACGCCGGGGGCCAGCTTGCCCGTGGCATAGCCCTGCCAAGCCACGAGGTAAGGGTTGTCCATGGTGAGCCAGAAGCGCACGTGCTCGCCGAAGTGCCTGAAGCAGAGCTCGGCGTAGTCCCGGAACAAGCCGACCAGAGCTGGGCTTTGCCAGCCGCCATAGAGCTCCTGAAGGCGCTGGGGCAGATCCCAGTGGTAGAGGGTGACCACGGGCTCGACGCCGCGCTGCCTCAGGCCGGCCAGGAAGCGCGCGTAATGCTCCAGGGCGGCGGGGCTGGCGGGCGCCGTGCCGTTGGGGAGCAGGCGCGCCCAGGGCAGCGAGAAGCGGTAGTGCGACACCCCCAGGAGGCTCAGCGCTTCCAGGTCGCGCTCGACGCGGTTGTAGCTGTCGCTGGCCACGTCCCCCGACGGCGCCTTCGGCTCGGCGGCGGCGGCGGCCCGGGGGAGGCGCTGCGCGAAGGCGTCCCACACCGAGGGCCCCTTGCCGTCCTGGCTCCAGGCGCCTTCCACCTGGTACGCCGCGCTGCCCGCCCCCCACAGGAAGCCGTCGGGGAACGTGTCGTCCAGGAAGAGCTCATCCTCGAAGGGCAGGCGGGCGAAGCGAGACCAAGTGGTCTCTCCCTGCCCGGGGTGCCCGGCCAGCGGGCGGCACAGCAGCAGCACCCGGGCCAGGAGCAGCAGCCCCGGCGTCGCAGCGCGAGTCATGGGGGAGGCCGAAACGGAGGTCGACGGCGGCGAGAAGCGGGCGCGGGACCGGCTGGAGTTGTCTGTCCCCTTTCTCCAGCCAAGCCCCCTTTATCCCCTCGCTTCGCCCTCCCCGCGGGGCTGTTAATCATTACCGCGGGGGGAGGTGGCGGGAAGGAGGGGGGAGGTCAACCGGTTTGCACCGAAGGGAGACGACGACGGGGCTCTGTGTCTCCACCTACCCGCCCCACGTCGGTGGGCGCGGGTGGTGCCTTAGGAAGAGAGGCATCCGCGCTGGGTCTGTCTTCCCCCGTCCCGTCGGGAGGTGTCAAAAGTGGGAGATGGAAATGCGTCATTACCTTCGCGCGCCTCAAACAATGTTTTCTTTCTTCTTGGTGAGACTTCGGCTCCCTGCACCTGACCTTGCTTTTGACGGCTCCTTTGTCAATCTCCTTGCTGCTTCTGCATTGTTCAGTGATAAACTTTGACGCCTAAAAGGGGGGGGGCGGGTCCAGCTATCACCATCCATTCAGGGAGTTGGATCTTGTTTCCCCTTCTTCCTCCGGCATCAGCTCAGACTTGGCGAAACTGAACTCATGTCTGGCTTCAAATTCGAGATTCCCTGAACGCTTTGCTACGCCGTGATTTTATTTTCTCACCTTGTCAATAGTCACAAATCACGTTAAAGCATTTGAAAGACTGCGGTGTGTAGTGTCTTTCATTTCTGCTCTTGGTTGCAAAGGAAGGGTGAAGGGTGAAGATCCTGTTTCAATCAGTATAGAACTGGAGAGTAGTCCTCCTTATTCAGGATTATTGAGCATGACATATTGGGATGTGATCTTGCATATGGTGGTTAATTTTGTGCTCACAGGTTCTGAACAAGCTTTAAAGGTAAGCGCATATCATGTGTTGAACAGTGACAAGCAGTTGTTATCTTTCTTTCCTCTCTCTCCAGAAAACCGGGAAGAATGGAAACAAGCCTTTCTGTATTCAAACTGCATCGCTGTAACTTAACATTACAATACAATATATTGAATATATACATTGCAACTACTTTAAAACAGTTTTTTTCATTTTGCTTTCTGAAGATGACAACATTTGCATTAAGGGAAGAAGGAAAGCAACTATTCAATTAGAAACACTTCACAAATCTTCAAGGGAGAAAATGCACTGCTTATTTACCGTAATTATTTAATCATCCCTCTTAATTGGTTGAATAGGTGTAATACATTGGAGTCTTGTAAAGGACAGGATACAGTACTCTGCACTTAACATCATTTAAAGAGACCAGGGTTTTTTTTATTTAAAAAAAGGTATAAAGTTGCATATTTAAAATTTGAATGCAAGGTGAGACTTTTAAAAATAACCTGCATGTGGCAGGGAGGCCAGCAGCCACACACAGATGTTCTCAGGAGATAAAGTTACTATTTAACTAAAGATTGGAAGCATTGTGATAATTTAGATTTATTTTTAGACAACGGTCATTTGGAGATGGAAAAATGCAAGCAGTTGCTAATACTTAGAATATTTCAGCAGGAATCTGTTTATATTTTTGGGTTCTTACTGACATGTCAAGAAAAATCAAAATAGATCTGCTGCAAATTCATATTCTTTTGCACTTAAAAAATACCGGTAAATAAAAATACCACCAGCTCCTCCAGGTGTAGGATGAAACCTATGGTACCACAGCTGCCAAGTACATTGATCAATGTTGTGTGTAAGAAATATAGTTTTAAAAAGTTTGTCACTGGACCTGTCAGGAGTTTGTCCAAAAGTGATGCCTTATTGGACCTTAAGATTTGACAGCTGAATGTGAATATTCCTTAATGGCTGGCCCATTCCCCTGAAGGGGAAATTCACTTGTGAGGCTGGGGTGTGATGAGATGAGCCCTTCCTGCGCTGTTTTCCCCAAACAATTGGCTAACAGTTTTGAAACTAGAGGGGAAGAGGGAAAGAAAGGTGGAAACTGCAGGAAACTTCCTTGGCATGAAAGTGCACTGGAGGCTGTCTTTATATTTTCTTAATTTACATACTGTATATAAATAAGCAGAGGCTGAAGAAGTGAAGGTAAGAGCCAGGCAGATTCTGCACTCCTAGATTACAGTGGTACCTCGGGTTACAGACGCTTCACGTTACAGACTCCGCTAACCCGGAAGTAGTACCTCGGGTTAAGAACTTTACCTCAAGATGAGAACAGAAATCGCACAGTGGCAACGGGAGGCCCCATTAGCTAAAGTGGTACCTCAGTTTCAGGTTAAGAACAGACCTCCAGAACGAATTAAGTTCTTAACCTGAGGTACCACTGTATTCGCTTCTGTCAACTAAGAACATAAGAAGAGCCCTGCTGGATCAGGCCAATGGGCCATCTAGTCCAGCATCCTGATCTCACAGTGGCCAACCAGGTGCCTGTGGGAAGCCTGCAAGCAGGACTCAAGCACAAGAGCGCTCTGCCCTCCTGCAGTTTCCAGCAGCTGTCATTCAGAAGCATCATGGCTTCCGCCTATGAAGGCAGAGCATAGCCATCATGGCAAGCAGCCATTGATAACCTTATCCTCCATGAAGTTGCCCAGTCCTTTTTTAAAGCCATCCAAGTTGGTGGCCATCTTCCGTGGCTTTCATTCACAAGGACTAGCACTAGCCACCCAGGAGAAAGTGTATGGCTGGTGGTGTTTTGGAAACGGGAGTGTTGTTTCCATAGCGTTCTTGCAGAAAAGGAGACCTCTTCAGGTGCCCTGCCTGTTGTGCATTGAGAGGGGGGAGAGCAGAGCAAGCATTGTTGGCCATGTTCCACCCATTGCACTTTCACCACCCATACTCACTTGGGGAGCTGTGAGTTTCTAAATTGTACAGGGAGCCTATACAAGTAAAGCAGGCTACTGGCCCCAAATGGACAGAGGGTGGCATAAATGGGCAATGGTGGCATGACTCTTTTTCTCATATGGTTCTAATTGTTGGGAGTGGGGGGGGGTGAACACCCAAAGCACCCAGGTTGACCGTAATTATAAATTCATTTTAGCTGGGAGAATTCTGTGGGAGGAATTCAAGGTCGCAGCCGAAGCATTTCTGCTTGGCGGACAGAACAATCTGTCCCCCTCCTTCCCCTGCATGCCGTTATGGGGATTATCCCCAGAACAGATTTGGGGAAGGAGGGAGGAAGCCCTGCTACACTAGTGGGAGTGTTTGTGCTGGTCCCTGCTAGTGTGCTAGGTTAGTTGAATCCAACCCTGTGTATTTGAGGGGTGGGTGTGAGGGGGAGATCCAACTTGTCTAGGTTGATAAAATGAACCTGAGTTTATGAGAAAGAAGCTGGGGGCCTACAGGGATTGTTATACTCACATAACCAAGGGTAAAGTGTACCTTACTCTGGGACCAAGCTGAAGAGGCAGACGTTGCCTTTCCTATTGCTAATAAGGTAAAGAAACCCCAGACGGTTTAAGTCCAGTCAAAGGTGACTATGGGGTTGCGGCACTCATTTCGCTTTCATGCTGAGGGAGCCGGCGTTTGTCCACAGACAGCTTTTCTGGGTCATGTGGCCAGCATGACTAAATTGCTTCCTGCACAACAGGACACCATGATGGAAACCAGAGCGCACGGAAACACCGTTTACCTTCACGCCACAGCAGTACCTATTTATCTACTTGCACTGGTATGCCTTCAAACTGCTAGGTTGGCAGAAGCTGGGACAGAGCTCACCCTGTTGTGCAGATTCGAACCACCGACCTTCCAATCGGCAAGCCCAAGAGGCTCAGTGGTTTAGACCACAACCTTATTGCTAATATTGATGGCCTGAATGGGGGTCATTTTTAGTCTAGAGCAGAAAACTTGTATTGGAAGTTACATTTGCAAATGCGTAAGGAGCTAACTATTAATTGCCTTGTATGCTTTTAATTTTTAAACTTTCTAGTTAACTTGTTTCCAAGAAGAGCTGTTAGCCATATCAGACAGCTCAGTCTAGGAAACAGTCTTCCCCTGAAAGGGATGGTGTTATGAGTTTGCCCCATATGGTTACAGAACTGCAAATGAGTCTGTGTTTTTGTCTAAAAGTGATGCCTGCTTAGAACCCAGGGTTCTATAAATGATGTTAATGCTTCTTAACCGTATGATGTGAAAGCTAAAGTCAGATCAAGCATTGTTGGACTGAAGGTTGTTGCAAGAAGCACAATAAATTTGGGGACAACCTGCGCAAATTGCCTACTTTTAAATCCCATTGATTCCCATGGTTTGCAACTGATCCCAAGTAGAAAAGGGCTGAAAGTTAAAATTGCTTGACTTTGGCTGGCTCATGCCCCATGTCTGGAGGCAACATCAACACACTTTTATTGGCTAACTAAATTCTATTCCAGCCAATTTAAACAATAACTCTGGTTTGTAATTGACAAAGTGTGGGGAACAAGAGGCTGCATTTTTTTGTTGGAGAATAAGCATTAACAGGACTGAACTCCTTGAAATAGTTCAATAACTGAAGACTGTTTAGCTCCTAAGTATTAAACAATTTATATTTTGGGAGGGTACATCACTGACCCAAAATGGCACATTAACCTAGAGCTTTCTCCCAACCCATCAAAAGGCCTTAAAACCTTCTGCAATTACCAAGTACCAACTTGCTATGATCCAGAGCACTAACAGTGCAGGAAAAAGGAATAGTTATTGACTACACAAACTTAAAAAATAATAATGGTGAAATTAATTAATTCCTGATCTCACATTAACAAAAGAAGATCTTAAACAATGTCATGGAGCACTTTACCTGAAACCCAAACCAGCAAAAGACCAAGGGACATAATTCTTAAATTCCCAAGAATGCAACAAGTAGGAAGAAAAGAATGTGGAATAGCAGCAACAGAAAGTCTATGCCCCCCCCACTCTTACTGGCAAAATAAAAAAAAAGACCTCAGTCCAGAGAGACTCAAGAGAAGGTGTAGCTTTATAAAATATACACAGAGCAACTTCGGTCAGCAGCAATAAACCTATAATGGGACTGCCCTTTCAAATTAATGTCTTCTGTGAAAGGATACAACATATAGTTACTAACACTAAAGCTGCTTAAAATCTGATTATTTTAACTGGACTGCATCCAGGAGCAATAAACGGACATGGGCACTGACACTGAAGACTCA